AACTAACTAACTATAAAAGAATCATGCGCAGCAGCTTTGATACAAAGGCAGACTCCGTACGCTAATGTACGGGGATACAGTACGGGGATATGCTATACTCTAAACACTATACGCTTTGAAGTCCCCAGCGTGCCAACGCTACATATGCACTGTACATGTATATAATAAATGTAGAGCCGAAGGATTTATTGCAATTGGATTTATTAACAAGTTTTGCTAATGGTGTTTGTACTGAGTGCGCAGCTTACTCTATTTATTGCGTTGATTACATTTTTATCTCCACGTAAGCTTTTTAACCCTTTGGAGTCCATGGTTCGATTTCGAACCATGGGCATTTTGTATGCATGTGTGCGCAGTCAAACTTTCGGTTCTCGGCCATATCCTGACCAAATTCAACAATCGAAGGGTCTAAATGGTAGAGAAAACTCTCAGCTATCGCTTCGATCAGGTCCGAAGTCTCTCCGGTGAAGTTTGAGTGAGCGGCGAGCGATCAAACATTTCGAATTTTCTGCGCTGCTTGCTGCGAGTCAGCAGTGCGTGAAAAGACGGGATTTTCCCAGCTTCATGACAGGCGGCACGTGCCAGGACCGGCGCGGGGCGAAGTCACGGCAAGGTAAGCTTCTACTCGAAAAAATTTGAACAGTTCCGAGCTAGATTCAGTGAAATGGCTACAGGAGACCGATTTCGTCTCAGATCTGGAGCTGGACTCGCGTTTGGGGCACGTTGTGGCGGACAATGAATAGTGCTCTTGGCGAGTTTGGGCTAATTGTATTTCTCTCATCAAGAGCTTTCCAACGAGCCCAAGATCTTCAAAATCGGTGAAGTAGAACCAAAGTTATGTTGGAAATGGAGTGCGCATTTTCGTGACTGCCACAAATTCTGCGGAAGCAAAAAGTTACGGACTCCAAAGGGTTAATAATAATAATAATAATAATAATAATTTATTGCAATTACATACCAGTATAAAAACCTCGGTCCCTAGCAAAACTTGTTAATAACGAACAAGCTTAGGAACAAGCTTCGTTATTTACATGAAAACAAGTTTTGCTAATGGTGTTTGTACTGAGTGCGCAGCTTACTCTATTTATTGCGTTGATTATTATTATTATTATTTTTGGCCCAAAAGCCAATAAATACTGTTTATAAAATACCACTAGGCCAATAAATACTGTTTATAAAATACTCCTTTTTAGGGAAAAGTGCACTGCTGCATGGAAAAGTACAGTGGTATTTATTGAGTCAAGCAAATTTATTTGAATTTGATACTGTTGATGGTGTGGTCACTAATGAGTGTGGGTATTTATCAAAGGTCAATATATAACACAATAGCTCGTGCATGATGTACATTCGAGAGAAAAATCGTACATCGAAGCACAACATCTGGGTTATCAGCATGAGTAAATATTCACTTTGGACAGAGGAAGCAACCGTTGGTGCCCATGCTTCGCTGGCTTATTGTACTGAGACTTCAGCAGCGGTGCAAAGAGCTCCGGAACGACACATCCTCTCAGCTTGAGGCGATCAATGCGGTCTGGTGTAAGCTCATAGAATATTGCTCCCAGATGCCGAACAAACGATTTACCAACGCTGGCCTAGACTAGAGGCCATTTCTGAATCCCAGCTTCGCCGTATCGCAACCAGTCCACACTGCACTGTGATGACTCGCACGATCGTACACTCACTGTGCATGTTCGATTTTTTTATTTTTTTTCCGAAAAAAGTCAAAACGTATGCGTGCGGACGACGCGAAACATAGCTATAAAAAATGATGGCCTTATAACTATTTATAAGCCCAGCGCTTATATAGTGCGTATCGGGTATAGCGTGGTCGTGTAAAAGAATATACCGTATTCCTCGATTAATGGACCATGCTCGAATAATAGACCATGCTCAAATAGTAGACCCTCCTAGAGGCCTCACAGAAAAATAGTAGGCCATGCCCGAATAAGAGACCCGGTCTCTTATTTGAGTTCATCGCTTTGCGCACTAAGAAAGCACGTGGTGGATCAAAAAAGGACGCGATGTTAGGTTGCGCAACTACAATTTTTGTAGTGGCTAGTGCTTTCTTTCATTATTTGAGCACGGTCCACTATATTTTCATCGGCACATGTGCTGGGTTTATCCGGATCCCTCTCCATCCGCACGAAAATCGCTGGTTACCGATGTGCAGCATATGTTATGCATACAACATAACCGGACCTCGCGATCCGCATACCGGTGCATGATTTTGTGTACAAACTGGTTAAATGTGTACAAAAAGCTTCGTTGTATCCGGTTGCATGTGGCTTGCAGAAGCTAGTATCAGGGAGTTGTACAAGCAAATGAGGTCCTTGATCTGCTGGATGCATGCGGATAACACTCAGTTGCATGCACTTGTCATTTTTCTCGCTTGTTTTACATACTGGGCACGCTAGTCGTACTGCATAGCACCTGTCTACATGTATGTACGATGTCACTGCTGTTGACATGCCACATGCATATACAGTATGTGTGTTCAGTTATCTCGTTCCCTCGCCTATCCGGATATTTTTGTGGAAAACAGATGTGTGCGAGGTCTGACTGTAGTGCAACTCTGCGTGTCAATGTGAGCATTTTTGAAATACATAATGTTTTGTGGGTACATGTACAGTAGGTATCAGTTATAGGGCGGGTGTTTGAAAAACGACTTTCTATTCTTATTTCCGATATGTCTTACACGCGATAAATCAAGTGAAACATATCATATGCATGTGCGCAGGGGCAGGAAGATCATCGTACATGTACATGTACATGCAACGTAGTGCTACTGACTACTGTGCATGCGGCTGGTCATAGTCCCATAGGCATAGGCTTACCATGTGGCTATGTAACGCGAGTTACATGACCGAAACAGTTGAAACTGCAGCACTACAACGCAACGACGCGTTACCCAACTCGCGAGTCAGATCAGAACTGTATTGGACAGATGTTATTACTACAGGCAATACACTTGGTACATGTACTAATCTGGCATGTTTCGCTACACAAAGTCCATTCTTAGGACCGAAATATTCCACTATGAGATAAAAAATAGACCGATTGCCATTTGTACAGATCCACAAAATCCCGTAGAATCCCGTAGACCCGGTAGGGTGTTCATTGTGTGCTATGCATGCGCATTTGACCTTTTTAGCGTCATAATTCAATGACCAGCAATCGCTTTTCCAGCTTCTTCACTTTGGTTAGAACTAATGACTAGCTAGGTCTTTGTCAGAAAAAGATTTTCGTATGAAATGGCTTCAGGCCCCATTTCTTAATGGAAATAGCAGAAAACACAATAGGGTCCTGCACATTTAACACCCTACGGGATTCTACGGGATTTCGTGGATCTGTACAAATGGCAATCGGTCCATTGCTTGTAAGAATAAATGTGCACTTGAAACCCACGTTATGATTATGAAAACATGAGAGTTCAGTTGTAGGTAGTATATTCTTTTACACGACCACGCTATAACCGATACGCACTGTACATGTTTGGATAATTAGAATGTCTGGATAAATTAGAAGTTTTTCCCTGGCATTTTGGCCGGGTGGGGAATTTGGGGTTCGAATTACCAGGATTCTGCCTGTGCTGTAGTAGTGTGTACGCCAGCTAGTTAGGCCTTGGCAGATAATGCCGGCAGAAAAAGTGGCAGAATTCGGTACTTTTTCTGGTAAGTTTCATGCATGTTTGGTATGTGGATAAAGAAATGGAGCAGAATTCGAGAAATTGCCCGCCATAAGATTTGTGTGGTTCTGCCAATTTCACTGCTTTTCGAACAGAATCTGCCACCTTTCCGAGCATTATCCGCCAAGGGCGCCAGTACATGTACCGTATACACTGCACTGTGTTCTGCGAAATTTGTAGTACATTTTTTAATTCTGGCAAGAGGTCGACTTTTCTCAGCGGCACTGCCCACTCACCCCAGAGCCCCGCAGATCTTCCAAGCAAGTTCCAAGTCATCGGGACTGCGAAAGTCGTCGTTTGTTTGTTGTTGTTGTGTCCTTCACTGAGCACACTTCTGACATGACGGCATGTGGCACCATCAGCAAGTACAACACTTGTACATGACATTGTATTTTGTACTCATTCGGACAGCGTTCTGCACCCTGCCGGATACCAAACACGCAGACAACTTCTTACGAAGGATCAGTATCTGTCAAAAAATACTTAGACAGGCTCACGATCCGGGAAAACAACTCACTGACCAACAACAAGAGCTGACACCTATAATTATGGTATTTCCAGTTCGATGACCTGATGATGACAACTGAACAGAGACGAAGCTCGCGATCCTCATATCAGCTCAAATAATTATTTGAGAACTCTGCACTGTGTTCTGGTCAAGACAAAGGCCGCATTGATGTTCCACGTGGTCGTGCCTAATGTTGTACTCATACTAGTACGATGAGACGTGGCGCGCGTGGGCCAAGGCAAAATATGGGTCAAATGGGATTTCCTGATTTCCGATAGTTTACTTTGGGAGAAGTGAGCATATTTGGACGCCACCGATCGGTCCTGCCTACTCCGAACTCGTGCATCTCCTCCGCCCTAGCCTTCCTGCTCTTCTACTTCCAGCCGCAATGGCTTGGAATGTCCTCGCCGATTGTGGTGCTTAGCTGGCTGCGCCAAAACACAGCTGCGCCTTAGTCCTGATTTCGGACACAGTGTTCATTTTATTTTATTGAGAGACTTATTCTCAAGTCGTTCAAAGGCTTTTTAGTGCTACCTTCGCCTAGATATTACGTGCCAGCTCAAGAGCTTTCGAAGGGGCCACTCAGGCCCAGCTTCCCAGTAGTAGTACTGCTGTGCTGTCGACATGTCGGGCGCTTTTGGAATGGAACCTGTTTGTGTTTCACGCCAGAAAACTGGCTCAGCAGTGTTGCAATCTAGCAGCAGCAGCACAAGTACACCGCCGACCCCTGAGGCAGTCCTGGCTGCGGCAACGAGGGCAGCTACCAGAGCGGCCGACGCAAGGAGTAAGTACTAGTTCAGTCATGCAATACGCACAGATTCATTCATCCTCCTCACCGCAGTCCACATCAGGTTGATGATTTTAGACCTCTCTGTGGGTGTGAGAAGTGAGCAAAGGCAAGGCATAGCCATAAAGCTAGAAGTCGGTGGTACAGCGGTGAACACTAGTAGTACTAGTACTAGCGGACATCAGCGACGGGTAGTGCAGTATTTGCTAGTGCAGTATTTTCCTTGACCCATCTCATGAACCAGCCTGGGCGTTTCGATGTGTAGAGAACTTGAATTGTGGGTTGTTGTGACTCGAACTAAAACAGGTCGTGTGAGGATTGAATTCTAAAGACCAAGTGTGTTGGAAGGCAGCAATCTTTGTCTTTCATGTCCCCGTTCACTGGCTACATGCATACATGCGCACACACCTAGGCACAGTGTAGTGTAGTTGCATATCATTAGATCAGACTGGAGCTGAAAGAAGAGCATGTCAGCACCGGTTGCACCTCGGCGACATGCATCCAGCGATGCTGCACCTCTCTTGCGCAGGGGACTTCAGCTCCCCGGCAGATCGGCTCCAGCGCCCAAACCCAGATATAGGGCGAAGCAGAGCTTGCCGGATGGCTTCCACTTTCCTGAGTCGTCGGCGACGCCAAAGACAGCAGGAGTGGCCACAGAGCCACACCGTCTATCACAACCTGCTGCGGTCTTCACTAAGAACGACCGCCCGCCCCTAGCAATGCCTGTGTTATTGGAGGGAGAAAGAAGCCTTTATGTGAACTCAGGTTGGTAATATACCGCTGTAGTCCACTATATGTACGAAGTGAGCACTTCTTGCGCCTGTAGTAGCGTGGTCTTAGTAACCCTTCATTAATGTAGCGTCAGCTTTTTCTAACGCCACCAACGTGTAGATCAGTGAAGACATGCTGTGCAAGTAAAATTGGCCAACTTGCTGACGTGCATTCAGGTGTTGTCCTACCCATGGCCACACCAGAAGTTCCCCATGCGTCTAAGCACCGAGCACCTTCATTTAGCAGTGGTCATGGCGATGACAACAATTCACCCTTGACTGTTGAACAGCTGATAAGTTGTGAGAATTTACAGTAGTTGTGTCTATTCTCCAAGAACTCAGAACAGCATTTATTCCGAGTTGCGTAGCCCGACCTCGACGAACTTAGACTTGGGCGTGAGCATAACTTGCTTGAAGCTTGGGGCATGCACTTTTCTTATTGGGCTCTGTTTTCCTCCTCCCCCCCCCCCCCTCCCTCCGGAGATGGGTCCTGGCTGGGGTACATTCACCTCCCCACAACGGTTCGTGTGGTCATGTAGACCAGGGCAATAACAACCTAAGCATTTAAAAGGTTGTAGATCAGAGCACTGTAGGTAGTGGTGTGTCCCTGCCTTTCCTGATGGACTACAGTAGACTGTTGGGTCTGTAAGAGAAGAGCAAGTAACTAGTGCATGACTGTAGCTGTACACCACCCCTTGGCTGCATTACTGAATCTTTTCCACAATTCATGTGTCAGGTCTGGAATGGTAATGGAGTAAAATGTATTGACTTTGTAAAGTAGAGTGCTGGACTGCCCAAATAGTGCTCAATGCCCATGTATGGCTTAGCATGGCAGTCTGAACCCCAGCACAGCTTTCTCTATCTTACTATGCAGTGTAGTAGAATGCATTGGTAGAGCTAGAGCCAAGCCTGGGGTGTGTAATGTAATTTGCCAGAGAGGCTGGTATTCAGGTGCTCAATACAATCATGTATTGATGTAGCTAACCTGTTCACCTAATCTGGACACAACAGGGGATGTGTCTCTACCTCTGCTTATATTGCCCCATTCATCCCCACCCCACCCTGCCATAGTGCATTTTAGTGGATGCTAATAGGCCACTGCCGGCATGCCAATAAGGGCACTACACGCACAACAATATGCCCATTTAGTTATTGGTGCTCTAGTTGATAAGGTAGTTTAGCCCTGTTAAACTGCCCCCCCCCCCCCCCCCCCCCTCTCCACACACACACATTACCCAGTGCAGTCAGACTGTCAGCTGAAGCAAGGGATATGTTAAAGTGTAATAATGTCTCATCACTGCTGTACTCAGCTACCTAGTTGTCCTTTTTGTGTTGCACTTTGAGCATCATGGGGAAAATATGGATGAGGCGAATGGGTTTTTCAGTGTTTGATCACTTTGCGGTGGTGATCAACTCGCCTCCCACCGCTTTAGGAGCTGCATCTGGGCCTTGATCTTTAAGGGCGGAGGCTTTCCTATGGATGCTGAAAGCCCAGTCTGACTGGGTCTTACAGGAATGTGATTTGTTTCAGCATCACCCTGTGCTGTTCTGTGGCTTCAGCATTTTTCTCATTTAGTCAAAGTCTTTAGTAATTGTCCCAAGTGCCAGAATTAGCTGCATCATTGGACCGGTTGTGTGTGAGGGGTCTCATTGATCCAATCAAAACCCGGACACTTTCTTATGTATGGCCTCAGGGAAACTCTTGAGAAACGGTCACCTCTTGTGCAGTGGTGGTGGTGTCTTGTTATGTTTAAGTTGTTTTAAGTGAAGTGGTGGTAGTAACACACTTACAATTGACCTGATCTAAACACATCCTTTTGCAGAGAGAGCCCTTGAAAGGCACGTGACTTCAGGGGAACAGTGTCAATTTCCAGTGCCTAACATTTGGTCCAATGCAGTATTTTCTCCTTTTCTGCTCATCTGGCTTTTGCAGGGAGAGCACCTGCACCTGCTCCTGCTCGAGCTCCAGCTCTGAGTCAGAAAAGCGCAAATCCTGTACCAGTAAAACCGCGGTCAAGTAGCCAGAATACTGTGATTGGTAAGCTGCACCCGCTCTATCTCAATTTCAAACAAAGTAGTCTCTTGGCAAGGTCTGGCCGAACTAGGTACTGTATTAAAGTCAACAAATATTCGGCGCATATTTATTTTTCGGCTATTTTCAGCCTGGTCATATCTGGCCGAAAATTTGTTGCAGCCGAAATTATATTTTGAAAGGTTCCGTGTGACAGTGTATACAGGCAACAGCAGCAGGACAGGTGAAAATTTAATGCGACCGAAATGTGTTTTAGCCCTGGGGTGCCGAAATTTGAATGGGCAGAAAATTTGTAGACTTACAGTACTTTCATGCTTACAGTGCGTTTCAAAAATATAGACGCATAATTTCAAAAAAAAAAACCCGTTAGGCCAGCATCTATACCACATAAAATCTGTGATCACTTTGTGCATAAAAATTTCGAAATTGGGATTTTGCTATCCGATCGCTTAGCAATCTATATGACAGTAATTGTGTGACGGGCATGAGCAATATTCCGGAAAAAATTCTCGAAAAGCTCCAGCCAAATTTGAAATATTTCAATAATACCATGCGTCTATATTTTTGAAATGGACTGTAGTACTTGTACTGGTACAGCTGCACATCCGATTCATTTTAATGACCAAAACAAGGCTGTAAAAAAGTCTCTTTTCTTCCATCTCCTGCTAGTCTCTTTGCTTGCTCTTCCAGCAACTTACGCACCCGGTTGACTCATGACATGGCGAACACAGTGTGCAAGAGAATTTGCCATTTCAGGCCAGGTTCTGCATAAGAGAATAGCACACGCTGCTCTTGTGCCACCTACACTTCAGTTAGAGGAACTAGGTCACAACAACACCTGGCCATATCCAGAGGTGTTGTAGTCGTCAGAGACAGTGGCAGATCCGAAAGTTTTCACTGATGCATGACGGTCGTTTATTGTTGTGGATGGTGTTCTCTGCCTTGCTCTGGACCGTCTTCGGATGAGCTGATTCTAAATTTCTAAAGTCACGTTGGCATACTTCAAACGCTGGGATGGGTTGATTCCAAATTTCTAAAGTCACGTTAGCATACTTCAAACGCACACAATCATGTGTCGTTGACACTGCACTTGCATTTCACAGTGCCAAACTTCATGCGTCGAAAAGTGCCTTTGGTGTTTGGTGTTGACACTTTGTGTACATGCCTTTCCGGGTACCTAACCCCAATTATTGGATGTCTCCTCCCTATGATAGGCAGAATTGGAACTAGTAAGTCGTTCCATAAGGTCGACAGCTATGCTGGCTCTCTGAAGCAGAAAGGAAGCAATCAAGTCTCTGCCATAGGTAATTATTGTTCTCATGCGCTACAAATATATATTTTAACCGTTTTTTTTGTTATCCCGATGAGTACTGGTCAACAGTACTGCCTACTTGGTTTGCCACTCTGGGTGGCTTTACATGTGCAAGTATGGTCGATCTAATTTGACTAAATTGTCGCAAGATTTTGCCAGCATGCCGTTCGCATACACTTTCATCTCCCCTTTTTTTGACATGCCGTGCTATTTTTGTGCAAACACGTGTCTCTTTTAGAAGCCCATCTTGAACACAAGCCTGTTTTCAAGATTGACCATTTGCACACAAACCTGGTTTTGTATACTGTGTACAGCCTATATTCACTTTTGTACAGAAGCGTGGTTCGTAAGGAATCCTTTGAAATTCTTCCATAAACATGCATGCAAGTGGCTATCATGCAAGACGGTAGCCCAGTGCCTGAGATGTATTGTTTGTGTGTGATTGCTGCGCTGCTTGTCATTAGTATTCTGGCTGCTGCTGCCACTGCTGCTGCTGCTAGCCTATGGCTGCAACTGTTGCTCCGTATTCACCTTCCCTCATCATGTACACTGCTCTTGCTTGGTCTTTCCTGCTGGCAGTGTGTTCCTTGGGCGGAATAGGAAGAGATATCTTATCCCCGAGTAATCGCAGTAATCGCAGTTCGAGACGGAAGCGAGGTATATGTATTTTAGACTAGAACTATGTGTGTTTGCTCCACTGGCTTCACTCCTTGCCACTTCTGGACTTGTCCCACGTGCACCGAACTCCTCCTACCCTTGTTGCCAGTCTCCGTCTCACGTCCTCTTGCCTTCCTTTCTCCACAACTGCCACCACCTCTGCCTTGTCACCGCCTCTGCCTCTGTTTCCACCTCCATCACTGTTGCAGATACGAACATGATGAACAAAATGAAATGCACAGCAGTGTTAGTGTGCAACTAAGAAGCTCGGCTAGTTGTATGAGCAAGTTCTTGACAAGGATGCATGGCAGGCTACTCGAGTACAAGTGATGAAGATGAATACTTACCTTTTGTGCGTCGTGCAATCTCCGGCAGTATCAGCATAAGACATGCGAACCTGATATCGGCGCCTAGCGCAGCCTAATCCAATCATTTCTTATTGTGGAGGCCCTATCGACTCCAAGCATGCCCCTCCCCGTCATCTGTTCATGGCCACCAAACAGTCGTAGCATCTAGGGAGACAACGTGAGATTATAGTTCCCCAAATGGTGTCCGTTCAACCACAAATTTAGAAGTTCTACATGGTGCGGTGTTTTGACCTGCCCACCCCGAGTGCGACCCAGACAAGTGATACCAGATACAAGCATGTATAAATCAGCCAAGGGCAACTGGAATGGGCAGCCCGGGAGCAAAACCCACCTCGTTTAGCTGTATAGTCGCCCATGTCGTCTCCCTGCATGCTACCAAGAGTACATAACCCCCCCCAGAGTGTTGAACTCCCACATACCCTGCTGTCCCGACAGAATTTCAAGTTGACGTCATTATTTATGACGCAATGCTCCTTGCACCAGTGATTTACAACATGTGTACGGGTGTCAACGCATCACACGTTTTTCTTTCCAATAATTTGTACAGGATCGATCGGCTTCGGTCAACCACAGGTTCCGGATTCGTCTGATAATCCGTGTACAGTGCGCATTGCATCATCAAAATGACGTCAACTTGAAATTCTGTCGGGACAGCACCCATAGTGGAGTTGCACACTCTGGGGGGTTATGTACTCTTGATGCTACGACTCCCTGACGTCCATACTGCCTACCGTACGCGCTCGAATATAAGCCCCTGTTCGAATAGAGCCCCCTCTCAAATAGTGTGTCAGAGGGAATCGGAATAATAAAGCCCCGTCTCGTATAAAAGCCCGGGGCTATAATTGAGTGCGCAATGTCCGTACCATGCAGTACAGTTAGGGGTACTTTACCGTACAACGATCGAGTGTAGTCACTGCATGTACTGATCAACATGAATAGTGTGAAACAATTGGTGTTTCTATTAAAAAATAAAGCCCCCTCTCAAATATAACCCCCCTCGATGTGTCTTAGAGCCCCGGGGCTTCTATTCGCGCCTATACGGTATGTGGTATTGTGATTGTGTGTACATCATTCCGAGTACATGTACAGTTGCGACGAAAGAAATCCAACCCACTAGTCAAAAGTATCGCTGCGTTGCCATTTCAGTTACATCGTGTACGTTCCAAAAAACATAGGGCCACAGAGGCCGCACAAACCTTGGCACTACTCTCGGCTAGTTGGTCGGATTTCTTTGGCAACGACTGTAGTCTATTCCTTTGATCAACGTTCTTTAAGCTTCTAGCTCCAGTAGATTCCATCGTGCATGTGTGGAAGTTCCTTCTATATCATAAGAGATGGATACAAATTGAGAGCATACAAGACACAATTCTTCCTTGGGGGGTGACTTTGTATTCTTCTTCTTCTTCTTCTTCTTCTTCTTCTTCTTCTTCTTCTTCTTCTTCTTCTTCTTCTTCTTCTTCTTCTTCTTCTTCTTCTTCTTCTTCTTCTTCTTCTTCTTCTTCTTCTTCTTCTTCTTCTTCTTCTTCTTCTTCTTCTTCTTCTTCTTCTTCTTCTTCTTCTTCTTCTTATATGAGTTTCTTTTTTCCTTTTTTCTTTACCCGTTACTGTCTAAAAAGCAGTCGAAACGGTTTTTTTTCCACCATTTGATGGTGAGCATTTCCCTTCTTTTTGCCATAATTGTTATGCACAGGTTCACATGGGGGAACTTTAGACGGTGCTGAAAAGTCAGCTGAAGATTCCGGTTAGTCTTTGCTTGGTTGCTGCTGTCCGACCCTTCCATTGCTTCTGCCCCATCCGCCACCCACCTATTCCCATTTTGACTGGTTTACATCGGTGTTGCCAGGGACAGAGGTTCATGTATGCCGTTTCAGGCTTCCACCAACATTTTGGAAGTACATGTGCATTCATACGGATACTGATAGCAGTGGTGCAGTGAAGTCACAGTGCTGACAACTGCATTTGCCTGCATTACTCTATTCCGTGAACGTTGTGGATTCTTGTGCCTGGCTGCACTTGATTTTTGTTGATATTGCTTAGTATCTGCATGAGTCCATGAAGCCGTTGTGATTGTGATTGATTTGATGGAGTACTGTGAGTGTGTGTATGTGTATACATGTATGTGTGTGCGTGCATGCACGCGGGTATGTGTGCGTGTGTGTGTGCGTGTGTGTGTGTGTGTGTGTGTGTGTGTGTGTGTGTGTGTGTGTGTTTTGTCTTTTGTCCTTTCTCTTCATTTCCACTGGGCAGGTGTCGTACCCCGTCGACATAGCAGTCCAATGGAGCCACAAAGCCACAGCTATGATGTACATGTTGGTCCAGGTACAGTGTTAGGCTCTCTCCCTTCCCTATACATGTACTGGTCAACCTGCCTCCAGGGATGGAGAGAGAGAGAGAGAGAGAGAGAGAGAGAGAGAGAGAGAGAGATCTTGTATCTGTCTGTCTGTGTCTGCGCTTCACGAGGACTAAGTTTGTGTGCTGTGGCACTGCGACCAACGAATACTTCTATGATCATCTGGGGTGAGAAGTTGAGCAAGTTTCAGCTCTGGTCCATCCTGGCAGCCTCATCAACCCTGACTCACATGTTGGCCAGGAGATTGATTGTTGTTTGCCGCTGTATCGTGCACTTTTGGCACCTTCCGTTGGATTTTCGGCACTCGCGACCTTTCCATCCGCACAAGGAAGAAGTATGAACTTCACTTTGAAGCCTGTGTTTTATCTGCTCTTATATTCGGTGTCTGGTGTTGGTCAGTTCTCCGCCATGGTAAAGTTCACACTGACACTCGCTGTAACTCACTCCTGGCATCTCAAGCTGGGACCAGGAGCTTCATCTTGTCCAGAAGTGTCAGCATTGGGAGGTGAAGGTCTGATTTCATATGCCGCCGCCATTTCTAGTGCCTAGGACACGTTGCCCGGATGCTCAACAGCCTCCTCCCTAAGCAGATGTTATTTAACTGACTTGATGATCCGGGACCATCTCAGGGGTTTCTTTTGCTGGAAGGACAAGACTCGTGCCCCCGAGAAGCTGTGTGGAATCAGCAACTACCGTATTGTCTTGTATTAAAGCCTGTCTCATGTAGAAGCCTGATTTTCAAGATTCACTGTCGGCACATAAGCCTGGTTTTAGTGTTGACATACATAGAAATACCTGTCTTGTATAGAAGCCTGTGTCATAATTATAGAAGCCTGCAACCCCCCCCCCCCCCCCCGAAAAGTCATGCAAGCCGCGGCTTTTATACACGACTTAACGGTAGTACACTTTGGCAAAGAATCACTTGGATCTCTAACTGGGGATGATTTCTCCCGAGCTCCTTTCTCTATTTTCCCCTGCTTGAGGGGTTGCACAGCCTAAGTAACACTTGTCAGCTGTACACCGACCCGGTGTGGGTGGGTGTGTACCCTGTATAGTGTATATGTACTTTCAGACCTTCGTGGGTGCCTCTATCTTTGCCATTGAGTAGAAGCTAGTGATGTGGGGTTTGCTTGAGAGTGCTGTATGTCTGTGTGTGGCACTATGTGAATTGCAGGTGCCATGAACTCATCTGAAGTACTGTGGCGCTTTCAGAATGACATTGAGAGACTACAGGCAGACTCCACGCCAAAAGGTCAGCATTAAACCCAGCTTCTTCTAAGGGTTTGTTTATGGGCCCAGTGCTTAGATATGCTGCTATGGAGCGATGTAGGAGAAGTTCAGTTTACCTTTATTTAGCTTACCGGTACGTTGAGTACCTGTCATATGGACCCTTCTAAGTGCAATCTGCCTTTCGGGGCCCCGTTTTACACGTTCAGCCCAGGCTGGTGGAACATCGTGCCAACTGGGCTCTCGTGTGCATGCTGACTTCGTACATTGCCAACTGACTGTTTGGGTTCTCGGATGAGCTGAGCTCAGCTGGGCGGGCTGTCTGTCTGTGAAAATGATACGGGAGATACCACACACGCGCTCCCACCCCGGCCAGGCATGTCGGCTTTGGAACAAATTTAGGACATGTGATCGAAAGTGTACAAAAATCGATTGGAACAGGGGCCGAAATGGCTAGTTTCATGCAGATTAACAACAGGGTTTCTCATTTTGCATGGGCAGAAATCCCGTGTACCTCGTTGACTTCAGGGCTTCTAGCATGGGCTGAAGTTTCTCATCTTGCGAAGCCCTTAGATTGACAATTCACGCACATCCTGGAGAGAGGTCCATTGACAGCCAGCATCTCTCTGAGTGAGAATTCGATTTGGCTTCATGTCAAGTAGAAACTGCTCCCGGAAACGCTTGTGCAAACATTGCTTTGTCTCACCCATATATTCCTCACTACACACAGAACAAAACACTCGCGGCACTCGGCAGGCCTTCTCCATCTCTTCTTTCGGTAGACATCACACGGGCACTCCAGAATGACTTGATTTTTCAAAAACATGAGGTATTTCAACTAGGGCTGAAAAGATCATTCAATAACTCCTAACGATCAACCAATATCATTAACGATCGATATATTGGTTTTATCGATTCTTGTCAGCTCTATCGAACACCAGTTTATGAAAAAATTCTATGATACCTTTGCTACGTTAGAAATTTGTGGCACCGCACTGTTGACATCTGTAGATATCTGGCTGGTTTTATCAACATGAACTACTCAAGTAGAGAGCTTTATGTTGTTTCTAGAGCGAAGACTCTTGTTGTCACCCTCTGGCAACTGCTCTCATCTCCGCCTTCTCCCGCGAATGAACTGAAAAGGCAACGTCTTCTCTCCCGATCTCTTTCAAAGACACAAATCAATTTTACTGCGCTTGAAAGTACATGATTGCACTCGTATCCACTATCGGATGGAATGCAAGGGCTAGAATACTGTCACTAATATGCATGCATGAAAAATCGTTAGCACTCGTTTTGAACACTAACAATTATCGATTGCACTCATAACGATCGATATGCGAGTTATCGGTATAATTGTTTCAGCCCTAAATTTTCAACCGTTATCATTGTACATGTATGCACCCATCCTTATTTTGCCTGTGTTTCGTACAGACACAAAGCTACTATGTGAAATCCTGGTGATGAGCAACTCTCTGGATCGGATTCAAGCGTACCTGAGGCACAAACTTGCGGATGTGCACGGTATGCAGCATACGAGTGCTGACCATGACTTGCTGTCCATCTCGTTGCCGCAGGGCACGGTATTGGAGTTGTTGGAGAACAACTGCGCCGGTGCTCTTGCTACTCTGGCTACGATTGGTCTGGAGCAACTCAGAGTTGTCGACGAGGGCTTCACCGTCCTCTTTCGTCTTCGGTCACCACCAGCAGCACCCGCGTCGGCTGGAATTCCCAGCAAACCGTCAACAAGCACGCTTCTAGATGCAACACTAGACATCCTGTGTCGGTCTGCATCACAGAGACCTCCGACTGAGCAACGTAAGCCATTGCATGCAATGCTGCTGGAAATAAGTGGGCCTTTCTTGAAGGTCAGCATTCAGCTGGTGGCGAGGAAGAGGCCGTCTCCGGTGTTCTCGATTTCTCCCATGGTTTTGGATTGTGGACAATACAATGTCTTGGCTGTGGTGCACTGCTGTGCTATTCAAAAACTTTGTGTGGTATGCAGAAAATGCCAGAAATGCACACTGCAGCAAAGAAAGTAGTGTTCAAGTATACTAGCATAAAACAAGCATCATGGCTGGTGGGGGCTCTCTGTGGTGTTCCTGCTGATACAGGTGGACCACGGAAAAAGAAGATACGCTACTACTGGAACGATAAGCTGACTCGCCGCGTGGCCAGTCTCCTGTCGGGCGTCTTCTCTGCCGAACAACTAGCGAATAACCTAGATGTAGAAATGGATTCGCTGCCGCATGCGGTCCAAGGCGATGCCATAGACGCTATATTCCTTATTCTGGAGGAGTGGCGGCTGAGTGAGAACTGCCATGATGTGCGTCCACGCCTGCTTGACTTGCTGCTGGATCATGCCGAGTTGCAGCAGAAGCTGGACGAGTCGTTTAACCAATGGCAACGTGATGCAGGTGAGAGCCGGCGTGCAATGCGGGTGTGCAATGCAGGCGTGCAATGCAGGCGTGCAATGCAGGCGTGCAATGCAGGCGTGCAATGCAGGCGTGCAATGTGGGTGTGCAATGTAGGTGTGCAATGCGGGCGTGCAATGCGGGTGTGCAATGCGGGTGTGCAATGTGGGTGTGCAATGCGGGTGTGCAATGCGGGTGCCTCATTGGGCCGTATGCCCATGTTCTAGTATAGTGCCTACATTGCCTGTGTGCACATGTCATGTGCATGTGAATGAGTACAAATTGGCATACCGGTATGGGAGTTGTGTGTGTGTGTGTGGGGGGGGGGGGGGGGGGGGTGCAACTCATGGAGCATCTTGGAACAGGGGCACTAAAGATGAATGTGTGTATGCGCATGTGTGTGGTGTGTTTAAGGTTAGTAGGTGAGAGAAATTAACGTATTTGGGGGAAATTAGTGACACACGTAACGAATACACGGGCGTGGGTGACTCGTGTAAAGTTCAGGCAGGGGGCTCGTGTCTGCAATGTTGTGTTTAGGGGTCGTCCCAAAAGTTTTCTGTCGTCCCTGAAACGAACATCGTTCATTTCGTACTTGGACCCCCTCCCCTCCCTCTGAAACGAACACGGCTTGCTATACTGGACGACGAAAATCGCATGCATGTACATGTCATATGTACAGTGTCGGTCGACTTGCGATTTTGGCTCGCACCCCCTCCCCCCAAATGAATCATGTTCGTTTTAGGGACGACAAAAAACATTTGCGACGACCCCTTAGTTACACGGATTCGAAACATGTGAAAGTATGGATAAAACGTTGGACGAGGGTTCGGGTACAAGAAACGACAGAACTTTGAAGTAATCCTGGGTTCTTCTTTTGTCGATTCTGTATTGGCTGGCTTCGAATGTTTTGTGATCCGGAAGTGCTTTTCAAAACGAGACATCACAAGCAGTTTGATTTTTTCAGCACATGTGTTTTATCCACCTGCTGCTGACATTGCAAAGCAGTCTAGGGGGAAAAAGTTAAAAAAACCCACTATCTTTCTGTGTCTCTTGCAGAGTTTCTACCATCTATCGTGAGTGATACTATGCTGACTGAAGTTGCTCGGCAAATTGGCAACTGCTGGAGATCCGTTGCGTATGAGCTCAACCTGGGCCGTGCGGAGATCGAGGCCGTACAGCCAGTTGCGCAGGAGGCGTCAGGAGCAGACATGCCTTACATCGAGGAGCGCAGTATCGAGTACGCGCGCGGCATGCTGCAGCTGTGGAAGCAGACCAGCGGTCGGTATGCAACGCGCACGGTGCTTGCACACGCGCTTGGCAACTGCAATCTGGCTGACGCTATGGATATTGCTGATCAATGCAACTGTAAGTGATGGCTTTTTTCCAGAGAATGCGGGCACCCTCTTGTGGATGTGTTGTTCCTTCTCGGCACTCGTTTCATCACATTCCATCACATTGCGCTGTGCTCATGAGCCGACTTGCACCGCCCTAACAAGGATGTTTGTGCAAGGGAACCGGTTGTACTTTGTAGGCAGTTATGAACAGCTTTGACAATGATTTGGCTGTTGTAATTAGACATGGTGTGCGTTTGGACGCCTTTTCTTGTTTCACTGGCATTATGGCGTGTATCCAGCAGTTTGTGCGCAACGTGCTTTCTTGTGGGCCAGCCTGGGTGTGCTGAAGCGTGTGCACGCACGCATGCGTGCTAGTGTGTGTGTGTGCGTGCGTGTGTGTGCGTGTGTGTGTGTGTGTGTGTGCGCATGCAAGCATTTGTATTTTCCTTGTGTTTGTGCATGTGTTTGTGCGTGTGTCTGTGCGTGTGTCTGTGCGTGTGTTTGTGCGTGTGTTTGTGTGCATGTATGCATGCCATTGTCAGCCACACACTTTTGTGTCTCACTTCTACCACGGTGTTGCAAAAGGATATTGACCAGAGTGTGCAACTCCGCACAGTTTGGCCTGCGGCTCAATTTTTTTTGTTGACATCCACTTTTCCAGAGATCATTTGTCATCACGTACAGAGGTGGGTGGGGTTCATGACTTGAAAACTTACTTGTAGGCTTCATGCCTTGGAAAGCTTACTTTTTTTTACATCCAACGGTTGGCAACCTTGAGTGTCACCAGCCATATTTTTTAGCTTCTGGCAGTACGAACACCTACTGAGGTGCCCCACATGCCGCCCTGCAATGCAGATCTTGCACAAAGTTCTACGCGATGACTCAAGGTCACAGGAAAATGTGGTGACAGCAACAATCTGCTTGGGTCAGACTAGCAGTAGACTTACACACTCTTGCTAGGGATTGCTGAAGCAACAGTTGTCTACGGAAGCGGCAGCGCAGTCGTTTTTTTCTTACAGGCATTTCAACAGACCAGGCACGGGCTTTCCTGACTTTTTTTGTAGGGAAATATGTCTTCTCCTGCTGAACTGACAAGTGATGGCCATGCAGTTTTGTAGCATTGAAACTCACTGTCTTGGTTTGCTGCTGTGTGTCCCCACCCTTGCTTTGTGACAGCTTTACCGGAGCACTCCCAGTTGCTGACGCTGGTAGAGGACTTGATGAAAAGTCAGGCGGACATTGTAAGTTCTGACTGAACATACTCGGAACGGCACAATCTGCGATGAGCAGAGCCGGGACACATTCCACTAAGTGTTTTATTCACTGCTTTTTTTTTGTCAAAAGAGCTATTAACCCTTTGGAGTGCATGGTTCGATTTCGAACCATGGGCATTTTGTATGCATGTGGGTGCAGTCAAACTTTCGGTTCTCGGCCAAATCTAGACCAAATTCAACAATCGAAGGGTCTAGATAGTAGAGAAAACTCAGCTATCGCCTCGAACAAGTCCGAAGTCTCTCCGATGAAGTTGGAGTGAGCGGCGAGCGATCAAACATTTTGCATTTTCTGCGCTGCGTGCTGCAAGTCAGCAGTGCGTGAAAAAAGGGGATTTTCCCAGCTTCATGACAGGTGGTACTTGCCAGGATCGGCGCGGCGCGAAGTCACGGCAAGGTAAGCTTCTACTCGGAAAAAATTGAACAGTTCCGAGCTAGATTCAGTGAAATGGCTACAGGAGACCGATTTCGTCTCAGATCTGGAGCTGGACTCGCGTTTGGGGCGCGTTGTGGCGGACAATGAATAGTGCTCTTGGCGAGTTTGGGCTCATTGTATTTCTCTCATCAAGAGCTTTCCAACGAGCCCAAGATCTTCAAAATCGGTGAAGTAGAACCAAAGTTATGTTGGAAATGGAGTGCGCACTTTCGTGACTGACACAAATTCTGCGGAAGCAAAAAAGTTACGGACTCCAAAGGGTTAAAGACTAGCAATGATGTTGATGTGCGCCATTTCCTTGAATGGGCACTTCCTCTCCTGACAGTTTTGTGCCGGTGCAATGCTAGATGCCCACTTCTGGAGATCTGGTGTCGAGCTATAGGCCCCCGCCTGACCTCCAAGAGGGCATGTGTACAGAACATACCCTTCGCTACACACCATCTAGCATATTGAGAGCACTCGTGTTTAGCGCATCAAGAGAAGAGCCGTACCACTTGCTCCATCATATGTGTCTCTCAGCTGCCTCGTGCCACGGAGCGAGTGGAACTCAAACTCAAACAGAATGTCGTGTGTTCAGTGCTGACTTTTTAGTGACTTGATCGTTACTTCAACTTATTTGATCCTATCCTACGACTTTGGCACACGCCTACCAGGAGAGGAAATGCCTGATTGCGTGCTTAATCCACGAGATTACCAACTCTCTCGTTGGACTGATCACATCGTTTCCAGCTCAGGAAAAAAAGGAGTTTGGTGTTGGCTGCTAGGGGCTCAAAGCCGTGCACATAACTGTCACACTTTTGGAGTAGTCCTACTCTGGGCATGATACATGATTGTAGTACACCCTAGTCAAGTATAGTGAAACCTGTCTAAGCCGACCACTCAAGGGACCTTTGAATATGTGATCGCTGTGTACAGGTGGTCTCTCCTTATCCAGGTTATAATCAGTAGAAATCACGTCCCTTGTTCCTGGTTGTAGTGGTCCTCTGGGACAGGTGGTCGCCTTGACAGATTTTACTGACTGCGATTTGAACAGAGGAAAAAAAGTTGATGTAGTGTGATAGCTTCTAGCAATATCACTGTATCAATGTACAAGACCGCCAGAAGCAGTTTTCAGTTGGTCCGGTGCTATTATTATAGCCTTTCACACGTTGTGTATGATATGGCGGGTACACATGCCCTCCACAGTAGTGAACACGTGTTGGTTGCCAACAAGTTGGTCCGGTGATAACCAGACCGGTTCCGGCGGGCCTGATGTATGACTGTACTTGTGTGTTTGAATCTAAAAGAAATGCTGTTCTCTATTCCTATTTCTTACCGTTTTGTTTGCACAGAACCAAACTGGAGTACAGGTGAGGGCTGTAAATTGTACTGCTGTGGTCTGCAATTTTATTGTCGCCACGTCCAGTGAATATTTGAGCATGTCGCAATTACCGTAAAGTCGCGGATAAAATCCGGGCTTATAAGCATAATTATAAGCCGCTTTCTGCATCAGGCTTGTATGCAAACCATGCTTATATGCACCACTGATATTTTTGCCAGGCTTGTATGCACGCTTCTACGCGCGACACGCGTATATCTACCAATGACTACTGGTATGGCGGCACTTTTACTGTGCACCGTACATAGCGCATGCACTCTTGACCTACCCGATCCGCGCTTGCATAGAAGCCAGGCTTATATGCATTTGACCCGTTTGATTTTCAGGCTTCTATACAGCAATGTGCTTGTATGCAAACCCGACTTTTATCCGCGACTTTACGGTATGTGCAGTCTAGACTGGCATGCATTGTTGCTGTGTGGTTTTTAGTCTTTTTTTACCAGAGATCTGTATGATATCTTACAGTGCATGACAGCCTGCTAGTAAAGTGGGATGGGGGGAGGGGGGGGGGGGGGGGGGCAATTTTGATTTAAACACACACGTGCTAGTATGATCTTGCTAGTGAGAAGGTATGCACCGTGTGGGAGGATCCACCGTCCAGAAGGCAACACTGCCTGTTCATTTGGGTGAATTCAAATAAAGAAACCAGCCAACGATATTATCTCTCTCCTTTGATTTCCATAGAAGTTCGGCCAATATGTCTGTTTAGTGTCTGACTGTAACTGCTGGCACAGGAAACGAGGGTTTGTGATGCGTTCTTCAGTAGTTGGTCTTGACACATTGCATGGTGTCTTTGTCTCTTTTTTTCCTTCTCATGTTCTGCTGTCATCCCTGCAGGAATCAGCCAGTGATCATGTTAGTATCAGCTTGTAATCTCTGCACTCTCTTCATCAAGCATATTCGTTCTAGGAGGGGGTGGGCTATTGTTATGTACATGCACACGTATATTCGTTAGGGATGGAATTGTCTGGCTAAAGAACCAGTTTTGGAACTGACCTTCCACCAAGCCACTTATACCCTACATATTTTGAAACATCCTACGGAGGAGGGAATGCAGGAAGCTATTCTCATGGCAACAGCATACTAAAAATAGCTTCAGTCTTCCTAAAGGTCGAACCCAAATCTCGGTATTTTTTCCCTTTACGGTAACACCGTTACAAAAGTAACGTTTTTTGCTAAGGGTGTCTAATGTACAAAGTCACGGGGTTTGTTACGTGATTTAAAGTTCTGTCGTTGACCCCATATCCTGGAGTTGCACATATCAGTCGTACAAACATACACAAAGGAATTCGGGTGGACCCACCCATCTCCATAGCGCTGCACATCCGAACCAGTTCCGTTATTTTACAACGTTTTGGCACTTGGCCATCGTCAGGTAAGAAGACACAATGAAATACAGTGGAAGCCACACAAGAGCAGTATATATATATATATATATATATATATACGCAGAGTGTAGTGCCAAAAAAGATGCGAGTTATGTCACCTCTATGCGGAGAGGGAGAAGGGGAGAGAAGGAGCAACTGTGCACATCACGGAGAAGAAGGAACAGAAGGTTGCGCGCCATTGTACTCTGCAAAGTGAGGGTGCGTGCCCAATAATATTATGGTGTTAATTCTAGCACATTACAGAAGGGGAACACTGAAGCCCATGCGCCAAGGCACTATGAGGTTAATCACGGAATGTGCGAGAAAAGCAGACAACCGTGAAATCCCACACTTCCCATGCCTAACTGTTATCACCAGGGACGGGTGAGGGGTCAGGAACAGAATGGATTTGAGTGACCTGCCTCGTATTATATTCAGTGATATTGATATACAAGAAAGAGTAGCAGCAAGGACAAGCTGAGTCATAATAAATCCCATCCTGTAATGTGCTAGAATTAGCACCATAATATTATTGGGCACGCACCCTCACTTCGCAGAGCACAATGTCGCGCTACCTTCTGTTGCTTCTTCTCCGTGATGTGCACAGTTGCTCCTTCTCTCTCTCTCTCTCTCTCTCTCTCTCTCTCTCTCTCCTCTCTCTCTCTCTCTCTCTCTCTCTCTCTCTCTCTCTCTCTCTCTCTCTCTCTCTCTCTCTCTCTCTCTCTCTCTCTCTCTCTCTCTCTCTCTCTCTCTCTCTCTCTCTCTCTCTCTCTCTCTCTCTCTCTCTCTCTCTCTCTCTCTCTCTCTCTCTCTCTCCTCCCCTCCCCCCCCCCCTCTGCATAGCGGTGACATAACTCGCATCTTTTTTTGGCGCTACACTCTGCGTAACACCATATTGTTTGGCACGCACCCTCACTTCGCAGAGCACAATGGCGCGCTACGTTCTGCTGCTTCTTCTCCGTGATGTGCACAGTCACACCCCCCCCCCCCCCCCTCTCTGCATAGAGGTGGCATAACTCGCATCTTTTTGGCGCTACGTTCTGCGTATATACATACTGCTCTTGTGTGGCTTCCACTGTATTCATTGTGTCTTCTTACCTGACGATGGCCAAGTGCCGAAACATAAAACAACGGAACTGGTTCGGATGTGCAGCGCTATGGGAATGGGTGTGTCCACCCGAATTCCCTTCACAGATGAAGCTGCAGGAAACCTCAGCCCTTCTTCAGACAAACATACTGTACAGACTGAAAATTTCGTCGGTTAATAATTCCGTCCAACTCCAAAGAAAGGGAGTTCGTCCGGTTGTAAATTTCGTCCACGGATCGTAAGAGTGTATTGAAAAGCTGGACAAAATGGATGTTATATAACCAACAAGGAGACAACAGTCGTAAAATAGCAATGAATAAAACTAATTGTGCACTCATAACCATGTATAGAACAATTATTAAAATGAATAATTCCAGAACGTTTTCTCGTGACTATCATCAGTGGAACATCGTCACATAGTAAGAATCACTAAAACAGCCAGTTATATACCTAGAAAAAAATGTTGTAGCACTCACACTCTTTACGCACTCAACATTTTTGGCCACACGCACACATAGCTGCCACATTTATCTACTGCTACCATTCTCAGATCCACTGCATAAGTTCACACTACACGCGTTGTGCATAACCGCGAGCTGCTGCATTCTCACGCTCCTTTTCATATTATACTACATATTATTCTAGGTATATAACTGGTTGGTTTAGTGATTCTTACTATGTGACGATGTTCCACTGATGATAGTCACGAGAAAACGTTCTGGATTTTTTTCATTTTAATAATTGTTTTATACATGGTTAAATTATGAGTGCACAATTAGTCTTATTCATCGCTAGATGGACATTAGTCCAGCATTTAATTTACTGCACAGGCAGAAAATTTCGTCGGTCAATAATTTCGTCCAACTCCAAAGAAAGGGAGTTCGTCCGGTTGTAAATTTCGTCCATGGATCATAAGGGTGTATTGAAAAGCTGCACAAATCGACATTAGTCCGGCATTAAATTTAGTCAAAGCTCCTTGGACAAAAAAGACGAAATTAAATTCCAGACGAATGTTTCTGCTTATACAGTATGTGACGATGTTCCACTGATGATAGTCACGAGAAAACGTTCTGGATTTTTTCATTTTAATTATTGTTTTATACATGGTTATGAGTGCGCAATTTGTTTTATTCATTGCGAAATGGACGTTAGTCCGGAATTTAATTTACTAGTAGCCCAAAAGCTCCTTGAACGAAAAAGTACAACTCCCTGCTTTCGAGCTATCGCGCATCAGTTTAGGTCAAAGGTTGTCTGCATGCTGCATGTGATAAACCCATACACACTATTTGGACCCGGTGCATGATGTAGTTACAGGTTTGTACACACAAGCATTCTTTGGGTACAGCTATCTGGTAGTCACTTTGCACTGTTTGGCAGCATAACATGCCATGTGATGCGAAGCGCTGCTGCGGCAGCGCAGAATAGAGATCGTACAGGCAGGTGCACCCCGTTGGGGCTATGTACTCTTGCTCGTACACATTGTAGTGTCACGTGTACAGCATGTGTTGTATGGCAGGCATGAAGTCGGGGTCGAGTATACAGTGGGTGTGCATGCATGCATGGGGGGGGGGGGGGGGGGAGGGGGCAGGGTCTCTATGGAACCTGGAGCTCCCTCCAGAATACACACTGTGTTGCAGTAGAAAAGTATGCTGGTTGTTTTGATAAAACTGCAGTTCAAGCCAGATTCTATTGAGAAAAGAGTAGGAATAAAGAAGGCTGTGAACAGGAGTGTAGCCTCCAAAGCTGTCTTCTTGGTGATGGATGCAGGAGAATTACCTTGCCATACCACTCAATTTGCTTTATCAAACACAGAAATTCCAGAAGCATGCTTTTCTATTGATCGGGAGGATGGGTCAACAACTAGGCCACATAGAGCATTGTCTAGAATCTCAGAATCATACTTTTCTCTTGACAGCGAGGATGGGTCAACTACCAGGCCAGATAGATCAATGGGTGAACATGGCACTGGACAAACAACTAGACAAGCTACATGTACATCAAAGACGGAAAAACTGATGAAAACCCAGTCTCTTAATCCAGGCATTGGAACACCAAAAGTGGTTAGTAAGTTCGGGGGTTCTTAGGTAACGCGGCAAGGTTTGCGTACATGTTGTGTGCATGTGCATGCGTGCGTGTACATGGATGCACAAGCATGTGCATGTGTGTGTGTGTGTGTGTGTGTGTGCTATGCCAGTTGTGTTCTTGTCCTCAATGCCGCTGTAATGTTGCTTGATGTTTTGGCAATGAGCTCTTCTCCTCTTCGCTTTGCCTTTCTTTGCAGCGGCGGCGGCGGCTTGCAAAGAAGCGTATAAGTCCTTCGGCCACATCACTGTCCTCCGTAGAAGCACAAAGCCCAGTACAAAACAGGACAGGGCATTTCCAACGTCAAGATGGCGTATCTGCCCCCTGGGAGGCTTCCAGTCTGGTCACGTCTGGTCCGTATTTCGGTGTCAACCTGGACGCTCTGCCACCGAGATCAGACAACAGCACGATTCCTCTGTTCGTGGACAAGTGCATTGCTTTCATTGAAGAACGGGGTAGGTTTTTTTGTATTCTACTGTTCAGTTGTTCAGCTGCCTGTCGTTTTGAGTGTGCACTGTGGACTTCTTAGCCTGCTGCTGTTGTTTGGGAACAGCAGCAGAAGGTATTTTACTATAGACACCCTTAGCAAAAGAAGGTTACTTTGTAACGGAAAAAATACCGGGATTTGGGTTCAACCTTTAGCAAGATGCACGCTATTTTTAGTACCCTGTTGCCATGAAAATAGCTTATATTTCGCGCGGTACAACCATTTCAGCTCCATATACGCGATACAAGGTGAAATGCGTACACACTACGCAATATTTGGCCAAAAAACGTACCGTTTGTCACAACGATAAATCAGCCCCCATAACGGTTGTACGCTGCAGCTTCAACGCTATGTGGGTGATCAAGGTACGAGTACCGTAAAAAAATAGCATTGCCGTTGTTTGCTAAGGGTGTCTAATATACTTGTTATGGTGTCGGAGCCCTGTAATAAGCCTCCGGAGTCTTCACTGGGTCAACATTCACCGTGGGGACATGCTTGCGGAGCTCTAGAAGACACTTGAGCATCTAGTAGATGCTGTTCCATCTTGTCGGCACATCCTGGATGACGCACAGGGGCTGATTAACAATCAGTGTTGATCTTAAAAAGTATGAAGATAAAGGAAATTCGGACAACAAAGTACACAGAAGGGCTTGTTAGGCCACACTTAGTTTTTTCTATGTTTCTCGTCGGCAATTTTTAACAAAAGGTATGCGGGCAGGTGGAAAAAACAAAAGCCAAGAAAAAAAACAAGAACACTTTCTACTGAAAACTGTATACATTTTGTATGCGTGATTCATGCAAGACACTGCGTATACAGTAGTACATTAGACACCCTTAGCAAAGAGAGTTATGTTGTAACGGTATTACCGTGAGGGGGAAAATATCATGATTTGGGTTCGACCTTTAGCAAGATGCACGCTATTTTTAGTACGCTTTTGCCACGAGAATAGCTTGTATTTCGCGCGGTACAACCATTTATGTCACCATATACGCGATACAAGGTGAAATGCGTAAAGACTATGCAATATTTGGCCAAAAAACGTACCGTTTGTCACAACGATAGATCAGCCCCATAACGTTTTTACGCTGCAGCTTCAACACTATTTGGGTGATCAAGGTACGAGTACCGTAAAAAATAGCGTTACCGTTGTTTGCTAAGGGTGTCTATTGTACAATCATAGGCGCTAGGCATAGTACATGATTGCACTGCATTATTACATCAGCCCATGAATATCAGGCAACCTGCAACAATGAGAGTATAAAGTTTGATTACGAGTTGGCAAAGAGAACATATATTTATCTGCTATCGCATCAACAAACGCTTTCCCATTCGTCAGTTTTGGTTTGTTACTTCAACGTTCTTGTGTCCGCTTATCAAACTCTTGCCTCCACGCCGCTCATCTTTTCCTCGCCATGCGTCGATTGCTTGGATTTTCTGCCCACGACATCGTTCCACAGACGCCAGTTGCCACGTAACTCGTCCGATTTACGGTATTCCTGGGACCCGCGAGGCTCAGGCAGTGAACGACTGAAAGCTTCGTTACGGCAGCCTTCATCACAGAGAACGGACGAGAAGCGCTCCTTTGCTGCTGTGGTGCAAACGTTTACGATTTTGATTGACGCATCTACAACGTAGCAGCTGCAGCATGTGCAGCGTACATACCGGTGCATTTACAAGTATGAACTTCTTTTTTTCTTCCGAAATTTCTGAAAACCTACGCGGGCGGTGACGAGAAACATAGAAAAACATAGTGTGGCCGTAGGGCACGGCAAATTGTTCTGTGCAGGTATCGGAACAATTGGACCAGCCGTCAAGGAGTTAGAATTTCGGCCAGGTTTCTGGCGTTTACCCATGGCCTTGAGAATGAGTCCATGTCCATTTCCTTTTCGTCACATGGTGAGAGTAATATTGCATCGCAGCTCAAAGAAACTATTATTGGGTCACAAATGGACCGCGCTTCAACATTTACCACGCTTTTGACATGTGCGTTGTGACTCAATATCGCGATATCGAGGAATAACTTGTTTGTTGTGAACCAGACATACCGACATGAGTGAGTTGAGTTGCCATTTTTCATGCTTTCGCGCGGAATATTTCTTCGAGTTTTACGGCGATTTCTTCCAGGCAGCTCGTACGTTAAGATGGCAAACTCCCCGGGCGATCGTCCGGATTGTTTTTTTAATATTTTGAAACTCACTGTAAAGTAGCATTTTGGTATCACATTGGATTGGATTGGTTTATTTAACGTCGAATAACAAACAGGCAGTGTTGCCTTATTACATGAGATCGACTAAAGACAAACAGGCACACACATGTAAGGAAAAGATTAAAAAGAAAAAAAAGAAAATAGAAAAAAAGAGTAGGATTTAAGACAGCAGCTAGCTAGCAGAGGAAAGATTGCATAATTATTTGATCAGTGAGCAACGTAAGTCGGTGAATTTTTCAGGTGGGGTAAAAGAGCGGTCCGGAATTGACCTGGTTTCTTCAGTGATCGTATAGATGCAGGCAACTTATTCCAGAGAGCGGGACATTGATATGAAGGGCTGCGTGTGGCAGCGGCAGATATGATCCTCGGGAAAAGAAGCAGGGGAACATCTGTGCTCCTCGTTCGACGGGTGTGTGACAGAGGTGTGACAAGGTCATGAAGAAGCACACTACAGTTATTATGAATTACACGAAAGGTTAGCAGGAGGAGTTTGCGGCAATACATTGATTGCAGGGGTTGAATGCTGAGGCGTTCAAAAAGAGGGGCAGTTGGAGACAGGAACGGAGCAGAGCAGACAACACGCACAGCTCGCTTGAGAAGTTTCTCAAGACGATCACGTTGTGCAGAGGAAAGGGAAGAGGAAAAGCTGTTGCATGCGTATTGGAATGTGGGTAAAATTATACATCTCAAGTAGGTTGAGCGGCATGGCATTGGGAGGCACTGCCTGTGGCGGAAGAGAATGGCAATCTTTGAGGACACTGTCTTGGCTATATGGTCAACCATTGTGTTCCATTTCAGGTCGTCATCGATGTGCAAGCCCAGGTACTTGGCGCTTGTCACTTGCTGGAGGAGTGTAGCTGCACAGTGCACATTCAATGTCTTGTCGTCATGACGATTGGCAGGAATAAACAATATTTGTGTTTTTCGACTATTCAGGATTAGGTTGCGCTCACCAAGCCAGTTGCTGAGATGGGTGATGGCTGAAGACAGGTTGTGTGACAGCACTACCTTGTCCTTCCTGCTATCGTGTAGCATGATGTCGTCCGCGAATTGGGTTACCTGGACGGCAAACTGATCCACTTCACTGGCCACATCCCTGACATATATGACAAACAATAGTGGTCCCAGTACAGACCCTTGGGGAACCCCACTTGAGCACGTGAAAGATGAGCTACTATCGCCGCTGATGACGACTTGTTGTTGACGATTTGAGAGGTAGTCGCTTAACCAGTTCAGGGCTGTGCCGGAGATTCCAAGCTGGAATAGGTCTTCGACAAGTGTCTGATGCTGGACCTTGTCAAAGGCCTTTGACATGTCCAGGAAAGCAGCGCCAGTTGACAGCCCGTCATCTCGGGCTCTTAGGAATTTGTCTGTAACCATTGTGAGAGCATCCTCTGTAGAGTGCTGGCGTCTGAAGCCAAATTGACAGGAAGGGTAAAGATTATGTTCAGCCAGGTATTGACTGAGTTGCTCATGGACGATACGCTCAAGCAGCTTGGAGACTATAGGGAGCAAAGAGACAGGTCTATAGTTGGTGGGTTGACTGGGGTCACCACCTTTGTAGACGGGAGTGATGTTGGCGATTTTCATGTTCGGTGGCAGCTGGCCTTCGGACAATGATTTGTTGAAGATGAGCATCAGTGAGGGTGCAAGAAGGTCAGCGCATGATTTAAGAATCGTTCCGGGCAAGCCATCACTGCCAGTAGCTTTTGTCATGGCTATTGACGATAGGAGCTTACGCACACGGGCAATGGTAACAGGCTTAAAGATTGAAAGGCTGTTCGGAGACATGGGGCCTTGAGGTAGAGTCAAGGCTGGGGGACGTTGAGGATCATTGACAATGCCTGCAAACACATTACCAATGTCATCCGGGGAGCATTTGGGAAGAGTGTGGACTGGTTGCCGTCCGCTCAGCTGATTCAATACACGCCAAGTCTGCCTTGGGTTCCCTGTAGCGTTCACAAATGCTTCATTGTAATGCTGTTCCTTCAGTGCTCGGCTAGTGCGGGTAACCTCCCGTCTGCTCTGCTGGAAGCTGCGGTAGTCCACATCAAGTCTGGTTCTCAGCCACTTACGATGCAGTTTGTTGCGCCTGCGTACAAGCGCTGCGAGCTCCGGGGTATACCATGGTGCGACATTGTGGGCACGGTGCTTCCGAGGCCGGAGTGGTGCATGTTGATCTACGAGTGACATGAGACACTCGTGCCACTGGGTCCACATTTCGGTACAGGTTCCCTTCATGGAGCACAGGTTAGCACACTGGATATCTTGCCGAAACAGGTCCATATTGATACGTCTGATGTTCCGTGTCTGTGCAGGAGCTGCAGGAGGAATTCGAATTGGAACCATGTTGAAAGGGGTTGTCACAGCATGGTGGTCGCTGAAGGAGATAGCATGAGTCGTAGCAGGAGAAGCACATCCCATTGTGCTATATACTAAGTCAATTGTAGTTGGTAGTCCTCTTAGTCCAATACGAGTGGGGCTGCGTACATGCTGCTGCAGTCCATAACTTGTAGCAATATCAGCCAGCCGCATATGATTACTGCAATTGCGACTGGTGTCAACATTAAAGTCTCCACAAAGTATTGTCTGCGTCGTTGGGCTGCAGGCTTTACTCAGCAGGGCTTCAAAGGAGTCCCAGTATGAAACAGTGCACCCTGGTGGCCGGTATAAGCTCCCAATCAGGCATGGCTGATGGCTGGTTTTCACTTCAATCCAACAGCATTCTATGTAGTGTTGAAACGATCTCACCGGATACTCGTTAGCTCGCTCGCCAGAAACTCGGCTCGTTTGTGCAGCCAGCTCGTTTGCACTAACGAACACCTTACACCGTACTCCGTACACATGGCAGTACATGTCGACCGGAGAGTCGTAAAATATTTTACGACTCCCTGGTCGATCGAGAGTCCAGTCCCGCGCAAAGTGAAAATCACTCGCAGTTACAGTGACTGTATGCCTGCACGACACTTGAGTTGTTTCAGTTGTCGTTGCAGCTTTGGTGGGCTCTAGTGATGTCTTGTTCCGCATCTGCTGACCTGTCGCAGGATATTCTTCGGTCACCTCTCCATTCGAGTGAAAGTTTCGCTCAGTCGTTTGGAAGTTTTCTCCCGCGATGCAGCGAAGACCAGGGCTACTTGCAATCTTTGCAAAACGGTCTATTCTTACAAAGGCTACTCGACGACGGCGCTGAAAAGACATCTCGACACCAAACAGCAGTCCGAAGTGAAGCAGCAGCAACCCCAAATGCTGGCGGTGATAATTTGAACCAGCTGAAAAAAATCGGACTTAGAAATTTTTTTATTCAAAAAATCATATTTGCCACCTCAATGAAACTCGTTAGCTCGCTCGATAGCTTGCTCGTTAGTGGAACTGATCGCTCGTTTGTTATAGATACGCTCGTTTCAACACTAATTCTATGCCTGGAGAAACGAGATCAGGCCTGGGTTGGCAGTTGAGTTCAGCTTTCCAATAAATGCAGACACCACCACCAACATTTCCGCTGCGATCTAGCCTTTCTAAGTTATAGCCTGGGAGGTGGAGATCGCCAGGAGTGACGGATGAGTCCAGCCATGTTTCGCAAATTACAAGTATGTCAGATTTTGTTCCTTCAGCAAGATCCAGAACATCACGCAGTTTGTGGCGCAGGCTTCTGATATTGATGGACAGGATATTCAGTTCATGAGCAGCAGGGTCGTTGCCTAATCTTCTTCCAGTCATTGCACAGATATATTATCCACATCCTGACTTAGAGATGCAAATGCGTTGCCAACAGTGACACTAAACTTCGCAGCTTGCGTCTCTGGCGGCGAGTCACGCTGATAGCCCCGTGATTTCTGGCCTGGAGTCCGGGCCGGTGCTCCACAGGTGTCATCTAGGATATCGCAATCCACGCTGTATCCGCTCTTACTGTCGTTCGTGGGGCTGCTGCTGCTGTTGCATCAATTCTCAAATTGATTTGTGTCATACTACTTCAAGTAGTAATATTATTATGGTACTGAAGTTCCGAATGAATGTCATACGTACATTTGTCTATGCACACACACACACACCTTCACACACAGTTACAATGATTTGAAAGGCCAAGAGTGTATGCATTCTAGTCGTCCTAGTGTTGTTATGATGCATGTACACAAATCAACTGCAGATTAATTATCCAAGGTATGTCAAGTAGTTTAGCAAATTTCCGTGACGTGACCCCACGCATTCCTATATGCTGTCAGCGATTTTTGCAGAGAATAGGTACTCTCCGCATTCAGAAGATAATAGGGGCGCGCGACACAGCTGATGTGCTGCTTGCCAGCTAGCTGCTAGTGCTAGCCGGTTGTTGAACTCGTGAAACGAATCTTCACGAAACCAGTAATCGCGTATGCAATATTTCGAACTATTTATTTCGAACTGTTTTTCAACTAAACCAAGCTCGTCGAATGAATGAACAAACTACAACCAAGAGTATCATAGCTACCACCGACGAACATCACTGTGTGGTGCTCAGCCTGGTGACACGAGTTCATCTTCAAGTGCTATGGCAGGTTTGATGTCGGAGAACCATCGCAACTTTCTAGTAACTCAGCTGGCGCCTCAAACGTGTTACGGCTTGCTTTTTTGTTGCTCTCATCGCAATCAAAAACCTTCAGTTTGAGTATTTTCACTGGCACTAGAATGGAGAGAACGACTGTATTTCAGCCTGCTCCTGTCTGACAAAGCCGAAACGGGAATGCAAAGGAAAAGGGTATATCCGCAGCCAGTCAGTCGCAGATGTGTGTGGTGCGTACTACAGTACTGTCTCAGTTTGAGCGCGTTGCAGAGGGCGTCGCTTGCAGAGGTGTGAAAATGCAACAGTGCAGTGCAGGCATGCAACGTTGAGTTGTAAATAATTGACTCTCACCTGGAATGTGCGGTCCCAGCAGTGTTGTTCCGTACTGCCTGGATCATCGAAATCCAAACAGGTGCCCTTTTACTAACGATACCTGAGATTAAGTGGCGGGTACCCAGGTACCCGGTACATCCGTTTGATCCCTAGTTTATTCCACCCCTCAGTATCGATTTCAAGCCAAAGCGAACCCTGTATATTCTCCGCTGATTCAAAATGTCAAGGGATCTCGAAGGCTGCACCCTGGACGTTCTATATGCAAAGGATTTACTGGGTAAATCGCAAGGGGCAGCTGGCCATAATATATCCCGGTGCACACAGGTGTGTGTGTGGGGGGGGGGGGGGGGGGGGGGGGGGGGGGGGGTCGACGGCTGCAACTATGTGTACGTACATGTATTCTCATTACAACATGCATGTTGTAGAAGTGCATCTCTGTTGCTTGGGGTGCCAGTAACTGTTTCTGTTTCTGCCGCACCTCGCCTGTGTTTCCTGTAGCCATGTCAACAAGAGGTATCTATCGTCTATCCGGTATCTCGTCGGCCATCACTGAGTTGGAGGAGATGTATACAGCAGGTTAGTGCTGTGTTGACAGGAGTGCTCGGCGGAACTTGATTCCGGATGTAAGGCTCCTCACAGCCCATTGTTTTGTTTTGCGCTGGAAAGGGCACGCGTGGGTTTTGATGCCGACCGACGGTCTGGGTTAGATTTTCTGCCGTCACTAAACTACGCAGTGCTTTTGCTGTATTCCAGCATCCATAGCGGGTGGCTGTTTGTAGTCATGACTACGGTCCCTGTGATATTATCTTACTGAGGTAACGACATGTGTACCGTGTGCGGGAGAAAGCATATCATGATTCATGAGCATGCGGCGATGTCATAGAAACTGTTCCCCTTTTTTGTAGTCTTTCTTTGGATGCTCGCTGAATCACCTGTTCATTTGAAGAATCAAGCAATAGCTGGTCGAATGGCATGAGTAAGTTCTTTTTCATTGCAGCGAGCAGATGCGTTTCCATTCGAACTCCTGATCGAGCCTAAAACTACAATGCTGTGCTGAGATTTTTCAATGTTACTGTTTGGGTAATCATTCCACGAGAGCAACGCCCTCAGCAGCGCCGAAATGCATTCATCTTTGCGCTGACCTTCTTCCCGAGGGCGTCAACTTGCTACCAAGGTATTTAGTGCATGCCAGTTGTTGGACTACAGTGCCATAGAATCTCAACTGACGGGATGCAAGCACAGTAGTGGGCTTCGGCAGAACAAGAAATTGAGTCTTTGCTGGATTTAATTTGAGCCATCTGGATTGCAGAAACTCACTGACTGAGTGCATGTCTTTCTCAAGCATTTTATCAGTGGCTGCATCAGCAGTCTGATCTGCAACCTAGACATTTGTATCATCGGCATAGAGTTGGCTAGTGGAGAACGCCAAGCATGTGGGAGTTCCTTTTCGAACTCAACAGTATGTAAGCTTGAAACGGCCTCGGGAGAAAGTTAGTTTGGCTGCCTTGCTGGCAAACGTGGCAAGGACAGGTTAAGGGCGTACTGGTTCGTCAGATGATGACTCAGAAGGCACTCCCAGGCGCCCAGCTGAGACTACCGCATCGACAACTGGACCAGACATCAGAGATTTACACACCTCAAGCACATCCTGGAGTGTTTCCTCCTCCAAACCCTACAGAATAGCCTTGGTTTGCCTCTGAATGCGCTCAAAATGCTCTTCGATCGATGCAGACGGCAATGCAACAGCTGTGGCTTCCTTGAGACGTACTCCAGGACCATAGCTAGAAGAGGACGTGTACCCTATGGTACTCCCACTTTTCGTGTGGTGCGGTCTTCACCAGCACGTTCAGAGCTGCAGGCTGGAGAGGAAATGGCGGCGAACTTCTCCCCAAGCTGGTTGAGTCCCTTTCGACAATGGCAGCATCCCTCCATCATCTCATATTCTGCAGAGGAAAGTTTAGAGAAACTCTCCAGGCGTGACTTCATGTTGGCGAGGCGTTCCATCGGTCCGGACTGACCAGCGAGAAGCACACCGACGGCTACCTCAAGCTGAGTGCCTTGGGGTCCTTTGATGGCGTTGACAAACAAGATTTTCTCCGGAGGTGAGGTTCTATCCCACATACATACGTCTCTCGTCAGATGACCAAGAGAATGTGCGCGGGGCTCCTGAGATCAAAACGGGCAGTCTAGACATAGTCTTGCGAGAACCACTGCTTGATTTCTTCATCAAAGCGGAAAGGGAGAAAAACTGCTGCCGGTCGCCCGCGGAATGCAGATCATGCTACATGTACCTTGGAGTGGAAATCAATTATGTTTTGATTGTTTTGATCAGGGAGTAGTACAATACCGGGAGGTGACACGGGCACACATCCGGGATTACGAGCTTTGCCTCACAAAAAAAATACAAACCGCGCGAAAATTCAAATTTGTGCTCTTTTGACAGCGCTGAGAAACCTTCAAATAGTGACGAGAAGACCAGACGTATCCCTTCGTGACAAGCTGCCACTTGTTCTTTTCAGCTCGAGCCTTTTTTGGGAGCTACTCTGATACATCGTCCACACTGCTGCCAAGTCTCGACTCCCCAAAATGGATGGAAGTGACGAATATGGAGGACGCTATCCTAGGTAAGTAATGTGATGGAATTTTCTCATCTTGACATGGTGTAACACGAACCTGAATTTCTCATTTGGACCCACTCGGACACCTCACCAAGTTGTGATATTTCGAAACTATACCTATTTGTCTACCATTCTACTTCATCTCAACGTGTTAGCTACTGTAACACTTTGGAAAACTCATTCCGAAAATTTTGAAACTTATTTATTTGTACAGACTTGAACATAATGTTCAAGATCACTTGTTTTCAGCACTGAATGAGGCCAGGCCTGCTTGCTTTGTTGCTTTTTTAACCCCCAGAACCCGTGGACAGAAGAGGAAGAGCGACGACTTGGGTGCGGCTGCGAAGTCTGCCTGCCCAACGCCAATTGCAATTACACCCACACACATACACACACCCTCTTGTACTTGTACATCACACACGCGCGCGCACGTGCGCATACATAAAACTATTCGTCTTTATCCTTTTGTGTTTGACATGATCACCTTTTGTACTACTCCCTGGTGATTATTTGCATAACATGAATGGCACAGGGATGACTTGTGGCATTGTACGCTGTACACGATTCCACGGTGCCATAAAAGTAACATTGGTTATAATCATGGATTACACCATGGTACGGTACGGTGGGCCTGTTTTCAGCCAATCAGCGCTCATCTAGCCATGGTTATATTGGCCAGTATAAATCCCGCGCGGGATTGATACTAGCCAATATAAATCCCTGTGCACGGTACTTACGTTAGGGCACTGCCGCCGTACAAGTTCACTGTCTGAAAGGCAGTGAACTTGTACGGCGGCAGTACTCCAGCGCGCGGACCATTCACAACAGACACCACATGCACGTGTACACTCCACACAGAACGGCACACTGACGAGGAACAGTACACAATGGAAAAGAAGAATGACCTGGAATTCGTCTACAGAGTATTCTATTATACTGAATCTGAGGATAAAGAACGTCGAATAACCACGACGTATCCCAAATGGGTCAGCAATGTACATTGTACTTCAAAGAGTTGAAGATCATCAACAGACTGTCTCCTTCGTAACTAAGTTTATAGTACAGAGTGTACTTCAACCTGATTGGAAAATGCTAGATTGGATTGAAATGTGATACAGTGATACAAAACGGGTGTATGCAAATTAGGGGTGAAACGGTTCGGGTAAGGAACCGGTTTTGGAACCGCCAGCTGAAAAGAATCGGGTACCCGTTCCGTCAAATTTCGAACCGAAACTCGAAAAATCTCGTCTTCCTACAAATACATGTACACGTCAAGTCTACTCAAGATTTTAAATGTCTTACCTTACGATCACCGCTCTTCCAAAGGGTTCTCTGGTCATCATGGTCATTATCTTCTTCGCACTTGGACTCTCCGATGTCTCATTCTTGCTCGTAAAAATGTTTTTTCTAAAAAATAATGTCGCGAATGCATTTTGTCGGTCTGGAGAAAAGAGTGCATGGAACCGATACCCGAACCGTGGGAAACAATGCTGGCATTCGGGTACCCAAACATGAAAAACATGGAACCGTTTCACCCCTAATGCAAATGCATCTACGTGCAAGTAGTAAGCAAACTGATTATAAGATGCCGCATGTTAAAATCAGCACTGTACCATAATTATAGTAACACTTACTCCCAAAGAGTTCAAGCTGTAATCTACATGTCACTAGTGACGGCAGTTTGATTCAACGACAAACTCCAGCACCCCAGCAATTCAGTTGATTTCCGCACCGCTCACGAGACAAGATCATGAAGATGCTACAATATGCACTGGAACTGAAAGGAAATCTTATGCCAAACATCCACAGAGGAATTTCCTTCTGATGTTGCTCGACCATTCTTTCAATTGACAACTGATAACCATCAGAAGATGTTCATGTACTGCATGATGTACGAGATCTCCAAATAGGTTCGTTGTTCTGGAAATGCGTAGGGGTACCTGGCATAAGTAGGATATGACCCTCCTAGTCGGGTTATACCGTACCTTCATATAAATCCCTCCTGCTATCGCAGTCGGGATTTATATTCAGCCGGTATAACCCTCTGACTCGGGTTATATCCTCTACGTAATGATATTGTACGATTCTGATTGCGTACGCTCTTCGTGGCCATATTTCATCGTCACGCAGCTCCCCACAAAGTACAAATTGTAGTAAAAGCAATTACGTACTATTACGTATAGTAATATGCAGACACATACAACTAGTAGTCACACAAAGTATCTATAATAAGCACACGTACTAGTAGTACATAAGCAGGCTATCTTTATCCTTTTACGCTTGGTCTGATTACCTGCATACATGACATACATGACATGGTTACTTGCACCAGTAACAATGTACATAATTCCACACTGCCTTTATCATCAACACCAGTTCCTGTTAACGCGTAACATCTCAGGCTTTGTAGCAGGGAGTAGCACAATACCATTGTACCATTGTGCTACTCCTTGCTTGACACAGACATGCGTCATAGTGACATTTGCGAATAGCTAGTTGTCTCAGCAGTATAAAATTTATTTTATTTTGTGTTTCACTCAGACGACTATAGCATCTGGATTCGGAATAGTCTTACTATCTTGAGACGGGTCAGCCATACCTGAAACATGTCGTTCATTGTGACTAAAACTTGCGTCAACATTATCTATTCCCCTAGAAACGACGTGAATAACTAAAAGTAATACAAATTAAATTAGGAAGAAAAATTCACTCTTACAAGCCGCCCACGTAAATACTGGATACACTGAAGGTACCTGTGCGAAGGCCAGCTGCTACTTGATATCATTCGTAGGATTCATCCTCATCACTCAGCAAAGACTGATGGATTCCTTCCCTACATCGTCAAAACAAACTTCGAAAAGTACTGCTCGAAAACTTCTTGACAGCATTCTGGCACTCTCTTGAAATGGTTCTATGAAAATTTTTGAAAAATGCTGCGAAATGCTACGATAAAGGTACGCAAAGTACGACATTTCGTGACGTTTCCCGGGACACAGCGCTCCACAGAAAAGTGACCTGAGGCAAAGCTCGCCCGCCTGGATGTGTGCCCGTGTCATCTCCCGGTATTGTACTACTCCCTGGTTTTGATTGTCGAGCATCGAAAATGTGTGACTTGGTAGCTACTACAAGTAGTGTCTGACTCAATCTGGTATGCTCTGTGTTTGATAATTTTTTTGCGCTGCAGATCACAATTTAAACTTATTCAGTGTTTGTGATGATCGACCGGATCGTTATGATGAGAACTGCATAGCATCCAGTCTCAAGTCATTTCTCAGGAAAATACCTGACCCAGTTGTTCCCGCGTCGATTACGTCGCGACTTGTGGAGATTCCTAGTAAGTGCTGTGTGCCATGGCCAGTTGAACCTGTCATGTCTTCTCTGCCATGCATCTGTTCATCATGCCTTGATGGAGTGATGAATTACACTCCGTACCAGGATGTGCATGGCAGAAGTTGAGCCACATACATGCATCTTTTGCATTCTGCGACGACACAAATGCGAGGCAAATCTGGTAGAGAGCAACCAATGCATGAACAGTCATCCACTCATACAGATGAGGCTGTCTGAAGACTTGGCGCAACAAAGCCCAGGTAATGAATGATCATTCGACTTGTGCTCATCTTCTACTCGTCTGAAAGTTCAACAAGTCTCCAATGTACACAGCAGCATGTAGGTACTCTCTCCAATGTGTTAATGTCTGTGTTTCTCTTTGCTATTGCCGAAGAGTACATCCCGTGCTGCGCTGATTTCTGCCTGTATGTGTATGCGCATGCTGGCATGTGCGCGCACCTCTCTGCCTGTGTTTTTTTCACCAGCTCTGGATCAGGACACGCAATCGATGGTGGATCGTCTGAAACTGATCGTTGTATTTGGCATGCCTCAGCGCAATCGAGCTTTGCTGCAGGAAATTTGCTGTCACTTACAAAGGTAATTTAGTATGCTAGCCGAGCAAATACCGTACTGGCAATATATATGGTCGCAGTGAGGCCATGAAGCGTTACATTGGCACATGTTTACCGCACGCAGGGCGTTACATGCAAAGTCGCACAGGAGCCGTTACACAGGTTTCTATATTGCCGCAGTCCTTTTTTTGCTATTGCAGGACTTCCTGCTGCGTCCAGTTTTGAACTTTTCACCACGCGGTACACGTGCTTTCACAGTTTTCAGCCTTTTTTGCAATGAAAAGATCGCCGCACCCCGCCGGACGCGCGTTACGAACGCAACGAAAATTTGTCGCACTAGCCTGGTCGCGCGTTACGCCGCACCCCCCTGCGTTACGCGGCAACATATATTGCCAGTACGGTAGTGGCCCGGAATTTGGACAATTTCCTAGCAGCTGTCGAATTTGGTTGTTTCCAGGTCACACAATATGACAGCATCCACTATAAACATCCACAGCAGAGCTCTTCTGAAGCTGAATAAATGGTTGTGGTGTTTACATCCATATCTGATATGGTTGTTGTACCCGAATCCGATGTGATTGCGATGTCCACATCCATATCGGGTATAGTTGCGGTGTCCACATCCATATCGGGTATAGTTGCGGTGTCCACATCCGAATCGGGTATAGTTGCGGTGTCCACATCCATATCGGGCATAGAACAGTCGGTGTGCCTTCTTGCTTCTCCTGGTAATGGCCTGTGCTGAGAAAGAAACGGTGTGTTGCTTTTCTGGGCTCGCTCCTACTCCTTCCGCTTGTCTACTTTCTCCGAAAACCGTTAAATGTGTGTGTGTGTGTGCGTGTGTATGTGCGCGCGTGTGTGCTCCTGAATTCGGCACTTGTGAGACTTAGCACCATCAATATGTTGGTGGGACACACCACATGCTACACGAAAGTCGTACGACTCAGATCTGCCATAGTGTAGCCGTTTGGAGCAAGCGTTGAGCAGGTCTGAGAGCCTTACTCCTGTTTGAACAGCCACTTTGGGCAAGCTTCTCCGGATTCCCAGCATAAGTGGCAAGGAGCGTTGAGAAGAACGTGTAGAGGGATTCTGACTGGAGGAGCTTGCCCCTGGGTAAACCCTTGTGTGCTTGGTTGGACCAAACATGCCATTTGCCTTGCACCGTTCACCACACCCACGGTGCCTGCCGAAGAAATGAGCAGACACGTTGAGCAAGTCAGCTCTTACCTTCTCTGGTTTACTTTGTCTTGTTGATTGTGTCAAGGAATGCTCCTTTAGGGCGCGTTCGGACTACCGATAAAAAGGGACAGAATGGAAAAGTTTCCTGGGTGATTTGATCACATGACGTTCCAGACACTTTACCGGGGGAAAGTTTTACTGCTGCAGCGGAAACAGCATTCCGGCAGTAAAAAAGGTCCTCGGGCTGGGAGTAGGGGAAATCTCTTCTCAGTGCCGCGGTGAGAGCTGCACAAGTAACGTTAGTTTACCGTTGGTATAAATGTCCTTCACGGCTCATCGCCAGTCGCGATTTGCTGGGGTTCTAGGTAGTCTGAACCCGCCCTTATACCGATATTCTGTTTCCGTGTGCTATCATGCCTGTCTGTCTACACGTGTTGCCTTATTTTTACACAGAGTTGCTGAACACGCTTCAGAAAACCTCATGAAAGCCAGCAATCTTGCAGTCGTGTTCTGGCCTAATCTATTGCGACCAGCTATGGAAGGTAGTGACATGGTGCTGATGCGTGACCTACCCAGGTTACTGCAGAATGTTCTCACCCTGTTGATTGAGCATGCCGAGGAGGTGTTCATTGAGAACCAGCCATGGTGAGTAGTGCCTATACACCCGTATTCTCACAGGTAGAGCACAGACATGGACATGCTCAAGTACACACACATTGTTAGATTGACAGCATGAAACTAGTTCTGAACTAGTATTGGGTTATATAATACCAAGCACACACACGTACGCACGCGTGCTCACGTACACACACACACACACACACACACACACACACACACACACACACACATACACACGCATATGCACGCACACACATGCACCAGCGACCAAGCTCTGCTGCCTCGTATCCCGATCGAGTGGAGTCATGTCCACCATCGGCTTTTATCTAGAATCAGGATTTGAGTTTCTCCTTCCTTTCTTCCACGCCTGTTTTTTAGTCAGCGTCGTAAAACTTGATCTCTTAGTGCGTCGTCGCCGTTGCTGACAAACTTCAGTGGCACGCTTCCTTTGTAAAATTTCATCAGTGTATATATGTTTATCTATTGAGTATGTTTATCTATTATAAAGTTAACCTAACCCCTTCTGCACTCAGGTCTTGTTGGCACTGATTTACACAGCTGCACCATGCTCTATCTGTACAGGCTTCACTTCTGCGCGTGTTTTTGTTCGATTTAAGATTTCGACAAGTCCTATTTTGTACGGGAAGTAACCAAATTAATACCCGCCCCACCCTTGAAGAAAATTCCGCACTTGGCACCTGATACAGTCTGAATAGTACTCTTATTCCGTTGCCAGTGCTGTTTCCATAATATACGTGTGCACAAGCATCCTTCTTTATTCCTCAGCCTCAATTCAAGTTTTCTCAGCCATCAAATTGTAAATAGTCAAAGCCCCGCATTCATATGCAACAACAGCTCTGTCTGTAATGCACCTGCCGACACCAGTGATTGTCACACCGTATTGGTGCTGTTCTCCTTTGAGTGTTTCGTTCGTTTTCCGCTTCTCACACATGCAAGTACAACTGTTTCTGTTGGCACACAGTGCTCACAGAAGCTCAGTTCCTTTTTTATTATTTCCGGAAAAGAAGACTTGTAATGTAAACTGTAAAATTATTGTGAAAGTTACTTGCGTGTTTTACGAGCCACTAGCTCTCGTGCTCAAACACTCAACCCGCTGCGTGCACAGATCAAACCTGTAATGCCGACCGTATCTAGTGTAGGCTGGAAGGTTTTGTAAACTGCCTTCTTGCAATCAAGAGTACAATCATGTACATAGGAAGGGCGGGGGGGGGGGGGGCAGCACTAGTATGACCTCTTATTGCGATGCATGAGGTTGAGAAGGGCATGACAGCTTATCATGGCTTGTGCGCTTTCATCTTTTATGGGACCGTTGTCAAAATTAATATCCTCAATAGCAAGAGTCCATAAGGCCATGGTAAAAAAATAAAGTTGATTCTCAGGTCATGAGCCTGTGAAAATCGGTGCGAGCGAGCGCTTTTATATTTTATTTCCCACAATTTTTTTCCAAAGATATGGTCACACATACCGTAAAATCTCGCCAGAGCGCCCCGTCTCTCCCATCCGCCCCTCCCTGACTTCTTGTCAGGGACGTGATTGATTGTATCCTCGTATGACTCTGTCGCAGTCTGTGATGCCGTACTGCACTGCAGACGCGTGCTCGACCCCGTTGGAAATGTACGCAATAGTGCCCACCCTCCTGACTAGGGATCGCACAAACGCTGCGTTTTGTCGGGTCTGTTCGACTCCTGGCTCTTGACCTTTGGTCGGTGTACGAGATGCACGAACAGTTTTCGTAGGGTGAGTACTTTTTCATGTAGCACTGAATGCGGCAAGTAGGACTCGCCCATCCGCCCCTCCCCACCTGAAGCGTCGAGGAGGTAGGGGCGCTCTGGCGGGATTTTACGGTATGTACGTCACAGGTTCATATAATTATTTTATTTTTCAGGCCAGGGAGTAGAAAAATACCGGTATTTTACTACTCCCTGATTCATGCCTTTCGCATTGACCGTTTTCATGTGCGCATATGCATGCATAGAAATTAAAAAAATCGTCGGTGCGCCGCCAAAAATCAGTGCGTGCATACTTGAGAATCGAAGCTAATTTTTACCATGGCCTAACCTAAAATTAATATGGGGTTATGGACTCTTGCCGATGGTCTTCTCGGGCTGCTACAAGCAGTGGCTCGATGTACATGTCGAACATGCAGTCCTCCGCTACTACCTGGTATATCTTTGTCGTTAGTTAGTCCCAGGGAGTAGTACAATACGGTATTGTACTACTCCCTGGTTAGTCCTGTAAAATTTGGCTTCATGGTACTTTTTGTTTATACTCAAAGCAGTCACAAGTAATTGGATTGTCACCTCACATGTCTACATGTATATCCTTACTTTTGTTGGATATTACCGTGTTCATTCGATATGGAAACCCTTGTGCATGAGGTTGATTTATTGCAAACTCGGTATTGTCACGCTCTAGACCAGGACAAACTCACAACTTAATTTAAAAAATTAATAATGTCTTCCATGAGGTAAACAGGACAGATGAGATGCCCCACAAATGCCTTTGAGGAGTTCAAATCCTATGTTATAGGATTTTGAAAATCGATGACATCTTTCGAGTTTCGTACTCCCAGTGTAAGTAACCAAAAAAAGGTCTGGCAGGCCAAACCAAAGCCAAAGGCAAAGGCCGTGTGTCGGTCAAACTTCGCAGACCTTTGATACCGGTATTATCAAGAGTGCATAACCCCCGGGGGTTATGGACTCTTGGTATTATGAAGAGTACATACCCACTATATACCCCCTCCCCTTGGGGTTACATGAATGTCCTCTTGGTAAGTGTGTGTGTGTGGAGGAGGGGTCCTGATGTAACGTGAGTGTATACTATTATTATGATTTGACATAGCAGTTTACGTATATAATAAATGTAGAGCCGAAGGATTTATTGCAATTACATACACCGGTATAAACACCGAGCGGTCCCCCGAGGTTTTTGTAACTGGTATGTAATTGCAATAAATCCTGAGGCTACTACATACTGTTTATAATTTTAATACTCCTTTTTAGGGAAAAGGGCAGTGCTGCATGGAAAAGTACAGTGGTATTTATTGAGTCAAGCAAGTTTATTTGAATTTGATACTGTTGATGGTGTGGTCACTAATGAGTGTGGGTATTTATCAAATGTCAATATATTTTCCGATATTTGTAGAGATTGGCCTGATCGGTATACTAACTGGTGACTATAGTATAGGTAGGGTACTGTAAAAGCAGAAATTTTCGGTGGTGTTTTATTTTCGGTAACTTCGGTGCCGACATTTTTACAGAAAATAAAACACCACCGAAAATGTCGGTATAGTACCGTACTAGTACACTTACCTGGAAAGCGGGTTTACCGAGAATTTCCCTCCACCGAACCGCCAATTTTGGAGAATGCCGAAAATATTACACCACCAAAAATTTCTGCTTTTACAGTAGGTCTACTACCAAAAGTACAATGTATTCTTGGTAGTACGTGTACACGATAACCGGTGAAACCTCCGTATGTCTGCCTTTGTGAAACCTCCGTCTAAATATAATGTGCTCTGGATGCAGTATAACTCTTTGGAGGATCCTGGGCTATAATATTTTTATCATTATACATTATATGTATGCATAGGAAAGGTGTTTGCTCCCCACACCGGCGCTCACGGCCTCACGCCTTTCCGCCGACTTGACTCGACAGACTGACCGACTGCACGGGGGAAATAATTTTATTGTCAAGCCCCTGAAATTTACGCCCTCCTGATACCGTCGAATCCGTCTTGACGCGGACCGTCCCTGGTTTTCACACACTGCTCCAGCATGCAAGCACGCATGCATACGCACGTCCAACATAATACACACTACACACTACACACTACACACTACACACTACACATTAGACGGTAGACAGGATTGATTTTGGTGCATTCACAAATCACCACAACACATTGTTTCAACACTGAATCACCTTCATGACAAGGAGAACAAAAAAAATCGAACTGATCGAAAGGCACACCTATAGATTAGGTTTTATATAATATTGTGTATGCCAGTCAGCAGCAATGCCGTATGCAGTCACCAGGTCACCTGGCAAAGTAAGAACCAGGAGCAGTTGTGCGAAAGGTGCCAACATGCACACAATGCGGCACCCACTGCAACTTGGGTGGAAATCAGGAAGTCTTCAAGTTAATACCATTGGCATTGGTAAAAATTTGACGACTAGCTTACCTGATGGCAATTGCATTGAATGCAAGATACTGGCAAAAATATAAATAAAACCTAAGCAATCTGAGAAAATAAACAGCAGTTGAATTGTGAAAACTGCAGCACTGGCCAAGTAAGAATAGAACGGAAGAACAACCACTTATAAGACGTGCAGATTAGCGACCGTTAATGACTGAATCATTACCTCCGCCATGTGAAACTCAACTGCGGCATGCACAGGTCTTGATACCAAGCTAATGACGGATATAACGATTGATGAAACACTTGAACCGATGATTCCCTGACAAGACTTTGGGGGGGGGGGGGGGGAGATGTGAAATGCAAAGGGGAATGAGCACATATGTACACATGTACGGCTGTGTGTCTCAGCGACAAACCCAGTGCTACTGATGTGCACAGTTTAGTGGGGAGGTGTTAGCTCCACTGGGCTATTGTGCCCCCTGAAAAGACTTTTTCTGGGAGATAATGCAATGAGGAGTGAGCACATGTACATACAGCTGTGTGTCTCAGCAACACTTGAACCCAGCACGATGTGCACAGTTTAGTGGGCAGTTGCTAGCTCTACCGGGTTATTGTGCCCCACGCGCTTCTACCTGTGAAAGAAGGAAACTCACCATGCTACGTCATGGCCGACTATCGTACCCAGCACTGGATTTAGCACACTGGGAAAGCAGCGCCGTGACTGTGAACGAAATGCCGCAACCGCATGACGTAAACGTGTGTGTTGTGTGATGATGTGTGCTGTGTGATGTAGATTAGGAGACATTGCAAGACATTCGGAGGCATAGGCAATTATACGAGATCATTTGAGCACAAGACATGCCCAGTCATACTTTAATAAACGAAGCAGCAGTTTGGACAATTCCAGATGGAAGCTAGGCAGAACTTACGTGTGACTATCCCTGCAACGTGGGTCGATACTTGATGGGAGCCGCCGGCAGCTAGTGCTGAGCACTCAAGGGAAGACTTGTTGGTCGCGGCACTGCTTGTTCAGTGGGCTTCTTTGCATTCTCCTCAGATCCTTGCTGAGAGAGACGAAGCTCCTGTGATACGGCACAAAATATGTCCTTTTCCGGTTGCCCGCTGAACATGTCTGCAAGACATTGCAACAAGTGGTGATCAACACTAAATTTGCTCGCCTTGCGATCAACTCCGGCGGAGAGGCGGCAAGCTGTTGCATGCTGGCCGGTGGGAGTGCTTTGCTGCTTTTCTTGCAGCAGCAGCAGCTCTAGCTGAGCGGCAGGCAGTGCTGATCGCGAAAAGAGCGAGTTGAGACTGCTCCAGTCAGCCTCCGCCTGATTGTGCTTGGTCTGCCGACTGACCGGCGTCACTGCTGCTGATGCTGCTAGTGATGCTGAGCTGCGGCGGCGCGACCGTCTGCTTTTGCTCAGTGTGTTCAGCACAGCTTTCCTGTCAGATGCATTCAGGGCTTTGCATTGACCCCACAAGAACTCCTTCAGTATCTCCGGATTCGAATTGCTCCTGGCTTGCTCCAGCCGCAATTTTAATTCAGCTACTACACGCATTACATTGGCGTCATGTCCACTGGCTGGCAATTTATGAATGGCCACTTTGGAGCCGCTTGATGACGGAGGTGGAGACAGCATATTTGGTACACCCATCTGGCCAGTATGTGCGCTATGATGCAGTATGAGAGTAGCGCCTACATTGCTGGTCTCATTAGAGTGATCTGCCGGTGTAGTCGGAGATGCAGTCTGTGACCCGGCTGCTGCTGCTGGTAGTGGTGGTGGTGGTGCTGCTGCTGCTGCTGCTGGTGATGGTGGCGGTAGTGCTGCTGCTGCTGCTGGTGGTGCTGCTGCTGGTAGTGGTGGTGGTGCTGCTGCTGCTGCTGGTGGCGGTAGTGCTGCTGCTGGTGCTGCTAGTGTGGCTGCTGCTGCTGGTAGTGGTGCTGTTGCTGCTTCTGTTACTGATCCATCTGCACTCACAGTATAAGCAGAGACTGGCGCAGACAGCGGCGTAGTGGCCAGTGCAGAGTTTGATGCCGGCGAACATACATTGCGAGCAGATAACAGCAATTCGAGTGTGCTTTTTTGCTGTGTACTTGGCTCTCCGCTGGTACGTAACTGCATACAGCTTTGCTCACTGCCTACATTCAACCTGGCATTTGATATCGAGGCACTGGAGCTCACCCGCATACGCTGGTCACTCCCTAATGAGAATACGAAGGGTGACGTGTTAGCCTGTTCCACTGGTGTAGAACCGTCGATAGCATGACGTGCGTCAACAGTGGACTGTAGGGGATTGCCATATGCCGGTAGCTGATTATTGGCTGCTCGTGCCGCCGCTGTAGGGAACATACCTCCGCTCGCACCATGTGACATGGTTGAGCCACAATGAGCAGCGGGCATGAAATGGTCCGGAGCTGCTGGCATAGAATTAGTGTGATTTCGTAATCCTACAGCATGCACGCTGTTGGACTCTTGGACGTGCGGGGAAAACTTCCCGATCGATTCCGGGCTCTGCAGGCTCGAGAGGCCAGTCATTGCCATTCGATCAGGTCCTTCAAGCCGCTGCCGCCGTGGTGTATCTGGTGAGGCTGCAGACAGCTGTGTGGATACAAACTCACCATAGGAGTCAGCCTGCTGAAATTTGCCACCTGAATTCAACAGTGCTGGACTTTCCACGGACTGGGAGTTATTCAACGCAGGGAAAGGGAACGCAGTTGGCTGCTGCTGTGACTGCTGCGGTGACTGCTGTTGTGCCTGCTGATAGCGGTTGTATTGGCGGTGCTGTGGCTGCTGGTGGCGGTGCTGGTGCTGGGTCTGCTGTAGGTGCTGCAGCTGCTGTTGGCGGTGCTGTGGCTGCTGTAGGCAGTGCTGTGGCTGCTGTTGGTGCTGCTGCTGCTGCTGTTGGCGGTGCTGGGCCTGCTGTAGGTGCTGCTGCTGCTGCTGTTGGCGGTGCTGTGGCTGCTGTAGGTGCTGCTGCTGCTGCTGTTGGCGGTGCTGTGGCTGCTGTAGGTGCTGCTGCTGCTGCTGTTGGCGGTGCTTGGCCTGCTGTAGGTGCTGCAGCCTCTCCAGCTGCTGCAGCTGCAGTTGGTGGTCCTGCTGCAGCTGCTGTTGGCAGTGCTGAAACTGCTGTCGGGTCTGTTGGGAAATAATAAATTGGCGGAGCAATTGGTCAGATGCAAAGGTCTCCGGGATTTGCGGCTGGTGAGCCGCCGAGTTTTGATGCCACTGCGTCTGCGAGTCCACAGGGCTGGCCATGGGAAAGCCCTCGTGACTCACAGCACGCGAAGGCATGGGGTGTTCATTGACCAGGTATCCGTTGACCATTGTCGTACTGGCAACGCTACAGTTTGGGATCTTGGTAGCATCTGGTAGGTTGGTGGCACTAATGCCTACTCTGCTGCCAATGACGTTTTTCTCGAAATCTGCCAGCGTTCTTCCACCATAGGCATAGGTACTTTCCTGACTGTTCGAGGAAGGCACATCGGCTCCAGGTTTAGAGGACAAAAATAGGCCCTGGAGCACTGCATCATAGTCTACAGGCAATTGTTCCACGTTACCTGCATCTGCGGACGCTTCGTATCCGCTCCTCGCCTTCATTGTCGTGTATTCTCTTTCCATCCACAATACACTGACTTGCTAGGTTAGCGAGCAGCCTAGCTGCTTGCTAACACATTGTAAAAATTATGGCTGCCCAATAAGAAAATGTACTACTCGTAGTCTGTAAACATTCAAGAAGGCGAGCGATCCTGTCAGATTTTCTTGTGTTGTTTTTTATAAAGTAATTAGTTGCCATTTATTGCTAAAAATCAGGGAGTCGTAAAATTTTGCGACTCCCTGCTAAAAATGGGTGTATGTGTCATGTAAAAGTGGCCCCGGCCCCGCGGGCGCGGGCCCGCGCCGCTGCTCGACGAACTACTAACGTTACAAGTAAAAAAGCCTTCCGTACTGACCGTAGGGTTCAAGGTGTGAATCTTTCCATTTCTCTAAAAATCAAGAGTTCATAACCCCCTGGGGGTTATGAACTCTTGTAAAAATGTAATACTGATGTCCTTGGATTGCAATGTTGGGTTTCTCATTCACATAATCCTTGGTGTTGGGAAGCAGGTGGCAGTTGAAAAATGGCAATTTTTCCGCATTATTATTTTGTTGTGGTCAGTAAAAAAAAATCATCGTAAAATAAGCCTTAGCAGCAACTAACTTATTTCAAGTCAGTTTTCAATAGAAGGAGACCCTAAGTATCCAGTATGGTCCAGCAAGACTGGATCAAGATCATGTTCATCCAAATACAAGCCATTCAAGCTTGCATAGCAATAGGTGTATCACCCTGATTTCATGTGCAAGTGTGTCAACATCTGTTAGCAAATTCAGTGATTGCCAATGTTTGGCCATTACCAGGGCCAACACACCGACATTCCTCCTTCCCAGGCATCGTTTCCAGTACATGTATGTAGCTATCATTATGCTCCCTCTTCAGCTAAATATTATGTTGTCACTGGAGGTTGAAACCAGCGGCTATGACTCTCTTTTACCGTAAACATCGCACACATGCAGACTGAAAGCTCTTGCAATGTCACTTCCTGAAGGAATATCAGTCTCAATTTTGGAGGCGAACTAATACTTGACAGAACATTGGCAATGACAATGGCAAAAAGAAATTTGACGTGACGTTTTGTAGGCGCTGCATGCTGCACCTGGCAATGAGATATTTTACCAAATGACTCAATGTTAAAAAATTACGAATCACCTCGTATTGGGCGGCTTTATTTATTACAGCATCTCATAGCACAGTGAGAACACCGGCCAATACAAAGAGAGAGGGTGTTAGCCAACCACGGCAAGGAAGGGAGAAGGGGAGGAGAAGAAAAAAAAGGAACCGGCATGGATAAGTAGTGATTGCAACAAAATGAGAAACACAAAATCAAAGTCAAGGCGCGACAAGGCTCTTAAAAAGGCGGAGGGAAGAAAGGTCCTTAGCTTCTTGGGGAAGTGCCAGCCACGCAGAGTACGCAGTGAAAAGGGGAGAGTGAAGTAGAAAGGAGGACTTGGGTTTCGGAAGGGAAAGGGAGTTTCTCGTGCTACGGGAAGAAAACCAGTTGAAACAGTGGAGGTGAGGTGGACACAGATTGAGTTTGAGAGAATGGATAAGGGTGACAAGATGTGAATTACGTCTCTTAGACAAAGGGGTAGTGTCAGCAAGGGCATAAAGGGTGGAAGATGGGAGCATGCGGGGTTTCCGGAGGAGGATTTTTAGAACTTTTTTGTGCTGAATTTCGAGCTTGGCAGCACGGGTTGTGGAAATTCCAGCCCAAGCAGTATCTGCATAATCAAAAATGGGCCGTAGGAAAGCTGAGTAAAAGAGGAGTTTACAAGAGATTGGGAGATGGCTACAGTGAGAAGAGAGGATTCCTAAAGATGAACTTGATCGTTTACACATGTAATCGATGTGGGGTTCCCATGAAAGATTAGAGTCAATGAAAATGCCAAGATGCTTATGGCTGGAGACTATGTCTATAGGCTGGGGGAAAGTGGGATGGAGGAGGGGCGGAACATCAGGCTGAGAAGGAAAGAGCATGATTTTAGTTTTAGACAGATTGGGCGATAACCGCCAAGACGACATCCAGGAAATTACTCTTTGAATCCCATTAGCTAGGTTACTCATCAGGCCAGTGATGTTAGGAGATGCCCGTAGGAGCGTTGTGTCGTCTGCGAATAGTGATGTGCCCGGGGCAGCTGCGGGCAGATCATTGACGTATAAGATAAAAAGAAGGGGGCCGAGGATGGAACCCTGGGGAACTCCGGATAGTACTGTTGTGTCGGCTGAGGACGTCCCATGTACCGTGACGTACTGCGTTCGCCCAGTTAGGTAAGATGTCAGCCATAGCAGGGGATTGCCGTCTACAGTAAATGATCCACGAAGCTTGGCCAAGAGCCCCCGGTGCCAGACGGTATCGAAGGCCTTGGCAAGATCGAAAAAACAGATCCCGACTAGATCTCCAGCATCCCGATGTCGACACGCTAATTGCACCAGGCGCGTCAGCTGGAGGGTGGTAGAATCGCCTCTGCGAAATCCGGACTGAGCTGAACTCAAACGTGACGAGACATGACAGTACAATTGGTCGTAGAAAACGCGCTCACGGAGTTTGGAAACACAGGACAGTAGAGGTATCGGACGGTAGTTTGATGCTTCGTGGCGGGACCCTTTCTTGTAGATCGGTATAACATTAGCTGTTTTCCATGCAGAGGGAAAACGACCAGTGCGGAATGATAGGTTGAAAATCAGACATAAGGGGTATGCTATTGAGGGCGCAAGGGACTTTAAATCTGATAATTCTAGCCTGGACTGTTCTTAAATTTTGCCGGTTTTCCAGCCTGGGTGTTCTTCGGTGAGGTGTTCTTCGGCGCCCGATCTTACTGTACACCAGTCACCTGGTCACCGTGCCTGCAGGGTACAACTAATACTTACTAGCCTGTTTGACCTTTTTTGGGTGCAGTCCTGTCACTCGAGTTGAACTCGAGTTGAACCTTGGTGTGAAAGTAAGTTGTCGCCTGCTGGCGTGGTGACCAGGTGATTTGGGCACTATCAATGGGCACCCAGGAGCACGTGACCGCTTGTTCAACCATGTTCGATTGGGAATAAAGGAGGAACGCTGCATCGCAGCCTTTTCGGACCAAAACCAGTCGACTCAGCGTCCAAAAGACTACAACATATGGGCCAATCGCGGTCATCCGTGCTTTTATAAGAACGACATAGCACTTTTAGTGAGATTTTGCATACAAATCCCCATCTATGTTTTTCGATTTTGACAGCATGTTACAAGGCGAGGACGCGTAGTGCTCCTGACTACAACCATAACCCGGTTGGCAGAGTCCCGGTCATGGTTGTAGTCAGGAGCACTACGCGTCCTCTTGTAACATGCTGTCAAAATCGAAAAACAAGCAAGGCTTCTGTATTATACCAAATCCCCATCTAGTAGGGCGCAGTCACCCAGTTTCGGTGGAAGTGCGCGGGTTCGATTGGGATTCAAGTAGGAAGGGAGCGTCGCAGCTTCCTCGGATCAAGACCATTCGACTCAGCACCCAGAAGACTACAACTGGTGAAAATTTGATTTTAGGGTATACTTCCCCTTTAATATTATTATTATTTTTATTAAATAATATTAATCCCAATCGAACTCGCGCACTTCCACCGAAACTGGGTGACTGCGCCCTACTAGAATGTGTACAGTTGCGCTAGATTTGCAACAGATGGGGTCCGCGAGTCGTAATATACCGGTATTTTAGGAATCCATTGTCAGTTTGAGACATTTTTCAGCCGGGTCAGACTGAACCCGCTGTTATCTGTTCAGCCAGGTCGTGCAGTTCCCCAGCCGGGCGCGTGACCCGGCTCTCCAGCAGGCCCTGCCAGTTTCGGTGGAAGTGCGCGAGTTCGATTGGGATTCAAGTAGGAAGGGAGCGTCTCAGCTTCCTCGGACCACGACCATTCGACTCAGCACCCCGAAGACTACAACTGGTGAACTTTTAATTTTTGCCTTAACTTCCCCTTTAATAACGTGGCAACAAAGGCCGAAACAAAAGTCAGAAAAGCAGGAAGTGGAAAGAGAGAGATGCATGACAGAGGCGAGTTAACTGAAGCTGGATGATGACCTGTGTGGTGTGAAGATGCTGTGCAAGGGTGTTCTCTTGCGTTTCGGAGGTGTGTGTTTTTGGTACTTTTTACATTACCCTATGATTATTATGCTTTTGTTGGACGTGCTGTTTGCTGTGTAATTCAGTATCAGCATTTTTGATTGACTGTTGTATCGATCGTGTATATATTTTGCAAATTTACAAATAATTATCGCAAGAGTGCATAAACAAGAGTGGTTATGGCCCTTATGGGTCAGTGTGCGGCATGACGCGCTGCCTTCATTACATACCGGTAACTTGCCTTCATCGCGCTCTGGAAGCATGCACTCAAACCCACAATTATAGATTGATTGATTGATTATAGCATAAGAGGAGAATTAATAATTCTAAACGAGAGAGCTTGGAAGCTCAGGGCCCTGCCCTATGCTTTTTTGCCTAGCTAGCTCATCATGCATGAACTGAACTGATGGAAATGGTTTTTTTCCCATTGATTGGCTACATCAAACTTTCTCTTTGCATTTGAGGGTAATACAGCACCGTCTACCACCTTGATGACCTAGGCAAAAAAAGCATAGGGATGTTATAAATTTTTCAAGACATAACCTGGGATTTGAACCCGCAAAATCGCCCTGCATGCATCCCCCGACACACTTCGCATACATACTCATTCTTCCAAGTTGCTTCACGTTATGATCTTGCATTTGAAAGCCCTATTTGAATATTGTGGCCAGCTGTTAGTGGCCAGCTGTCTTTGATGGTACGGTACGGTACGGGATAGCGTCAGACATGCCGATGGCACAAACAAACAAACACGGAATTAAAGCTGTGTGGACCCTGGCTAGCGCCAGACGTTACTGAAGTAACGTCTTTTGCATAGCTACGGGAATAAAGGCCATTGCCAAGCCACCGCGCTCTCCGTCACCCTTAGGGAGGGCCCAAACATGCCCAAAATTTCGCATATTATGCTCTTCGCATATTGGCCATTTGCTTCAACGAATCCTTCGAAATCACCCAAAAGCAGAAAAATATGCTCGAAATATGCTTGCCACGTCGCAGCTCGAAAACACTGATTTTGGAAGTTATGAAAGGTATTTTGAGTATGTCACAATGAGGAAGGGGTGAAAGTAATGCAAACCAAACATGCACGGCGTCACATGTGTACAGAAAGAGAACAGGTATGGCTGGCTTGAGCATAAAGTGCTAGAAGCAGGCAAAATGCAAACGTAAATAACTGAAGGACTACGGTAATAGAAAAGAAAGGTACAAAGTCGGGAGAACCAACAGCCATGAGTCACACAATATTTAGTGCGGTGTGCAGCACTTCAATCTCTGTACCAAGATCATGCACAAACACCACCACAGCTCATCAAAAGCAACTGATATGCAAATAATTGTTTGCTCCTTGTAGCAAAATATGCTAGATTTGGTACAGGTGGAATCCTGATAATTCGAACCTCAAAATGCCAGGAAAAAAACTTCTAATTATCCGGACATTCTAATTATCCAAACATGCACCCACAACACAATATGTATGTCAAAATGCTCTCATGGTCAAGCAGAGTTGCGCTATGGACCTTAGACACAGATTTCACGGATACTGAACTGACCGGTACAGCCTGCTCATGCAAACTGAACTGACCAGTACAGTGTACAGTGAACTTCGAATTACACTTTGCTAACTTCGAATTATCAGCACAAATCCCACACATTTTCTATGTAAGTGGAATCCGTGGGACTTCTAATTAACCGTACATGTCCAGTTCGAGGTTCGAATTATCAGAATTTGTTTATGTGGGAATCGTATTGACAGAAATCGGTCCTGGAAAAACTTCTAATTAAGCGGTATGTTCGAATTAAGCCATATTCGAATTATCAGGATTCCACCTGTACAATATGCTAGATTTGGTACTTTATGCTAGTGTTGAAACGATCTCACCGGATACTCGTTAGCTCGCTCGCCAGAAACTCGGCTCGTTTGTGCGGCCAGCTCGTTTGCACTAACGAACACCGTACACCGTACTCCGTACACATGGCAGTACATGTCGACCGGGGAGTCGTAAAAATTAATATTTTACGACTCCCTGGTCGATCGATCGAGAGTCCAGTCCCGATCCCGCGCAAAGTGAAAATCACTCGCAGTTACAGGTGACTGTATGCCTGCACGACACTTGAGTTGTTTCAGTTGTCGTTGCAGCTTTGGTGGACTCTACTGATGTCTTGTTCCGCATCTGCTGACCTGTCGAAGGATATGCTTCGGTCACCTCTCCATTCGAGTGAAAGTTACGCTCAGTCGTTTGGAAGTTTTCTCCCGCGATGCAGCGAAGACCAGGGCTACTTGCAATCTTTGCAAAACGGTCTATTCTTACAAAGGCTAATCGACGACGGCGCTGAAAAGACATCTCGACACCAAACAGCAGTCCGAAGTGAAGCAGCAGCAACCCCAAATGCCGGCGGTGATAATTTGAACCAGCTGAAAAAATCGAACTTAGAAAAAAAATTATTCAAAAAAATAATCATAATAATTTGCCACATCAATGAAACCAAGAGTCCATAACCGGGTTATGGACTCTTGATGAAACTCGTTAGCTCGCTCGATAGCTTGCTCGTTAGTGGAACTGATCGCTCGTTTGTTATAGATACGCTCGTTTCAACACTACTTTATGCGACCTTGGGTCAAAGCCTCGGACCAAATATGCGAACATTTGTGCAAGTCGATCTTTCCAATTTCGCTCAAAATTTGCAGGTAAGTTTCCTTTGGGGTGTAGATCGAATATGCAAAGCCCGCGGAAAAGTTTCTGAAGGGAACCTTGATTATTTAATTGGCATACCCCTAAAAAATGGTCGAAAAATCACATGATTTATGGTATTAAATTAGAAACGAGCCACGACGCATGCGTGCCAGAACAAGCTACGAACAAAACTCCATCTAGCCAACATTGCCTCACCTTGGCTTAGAAGAGTTCTTGGTGCAGCACCGCATAGCCACGCCAGCATCTCAGAAGACTAGGCCATCATCCCTTGACGCCACAAATGGTCTTGAAAATAGCCAAATTACAAGCGCTGATAAAACAGCGAGGTACGTCCTCAATTAGCAAGCACAATACACCGGCAGATAGTAGAACACCTCTTCTAGCACTGAGGACATGTCCCCCATCATCCTTTTTCGGTTTTCTTGAAATAAACAATTTTGAATTTTTCCACTCGATCATGCTGAAATACGTCCACACTCATACCTACGCAGGATAGCTCGCCCCTCCGCGACGTCTAGTCAGCAATTTCTACTCCAACACCACTCCCAATGCTGCAGAACAAAGTGTATTGTTGACTCTGACAAGGAAAAGCAGCGGTGATCACTTGTAAGTCACTCAAACGACAAGCTTCTTTCTCCTTGCTCCACCAACATTTTTTCTGAGCAACAAAAAAAGTGACTGAATTTTTGCGTGTAGTTTTTGAATTTTACGGCAAGAGGCCGATGAAATCACGTGCCTCGTTTTGCTTTTGCTTTTTGTACGTGCACTCACAGCATGCAGAAGGCATTGATTTGAATTATTTTACCAGCACCCGGCAGATCCTACTGCTTGTACTCGTAGAACCTGCTGGATTGTCCCTTCTTGCTTCCTCTACTTTCTCTCGCTATGACATAGTTGACTTGTGGACGTTGTGGTTTAAACTAACTTGTACAGCTTCGATTCGGTAACGGCGAGAATGGACGGAGCTAGAGCTAGAGGCATGGGTGGGTTGCCCCTGTAAAATATTTTTTTTGTCTGACGTTTCGCTGAGAAAGTGGGCCTGACGTCTGGCTGATCAGCTGAGGTCAGTTTCTGGAGAATGGGCAAGCGGTATCACTGTGATTTTTGCAATAAGTCCTTCCAGGATTCTCGTGCTGGAAGACTGAGACATTTTCGGGGAACCCAACATCAACGTTTGCGCCAGCAGCACTATGATAGTTTCAAGGGTGAGAGAAAAATGTCGAACTTTAATATCTGTCCTTTCTTGCAGCTTTACAAATTATTAATTAACCCAAGTAATCACATCCATGGACTTACAACTAATTACTTGCAAAAGAGTCTTTTTTTGTCCCCGGTTCACGGGGGACACCCCATACAGAGGGCCTTAGCTCGGTCTGCGTTCCAAGTGCATGCCAGCCGGAACACTCTTTATGCCTTTTTTATTTTATTTTTATTTTACTATTAATTTTATTTAATAAAGGGGAACTTTATATAATAAACTCTTTGTTGCCGTGGGACTTAGCTTGTGCACATTTTCGCTGCGCTCACCTTCCCCTCTTTGGTCCTACGTAACCATGAACTTCCAAGTTGGAAGGCTGTTGGTTTGTGCACTGGAGTTGTGTTGGAGCTAGGTCTCGGGTCGCTGAATGTCTCAGTAGCCTGTCAGTTTTGTGCCCTATTATAGCACTTTCTGACTGTTTATCATCTTGTTACAGTCGTGGATAGTTGCTGCATAACTCGTTCTCATGTGTTTCTTCTCTTTTTTACATTAAAGGGGAAGTGAAGCCTAAAATCAAATTTGCGTCAGTTGTAGTCTTTGGGGTGCTGAGTCGAATGGTCTTGGTCCGAGGAAGCTGAGATGCTCCGTTCCTCCTTTATTCCCCATCGAACTCACGCACTTCCACCGAAACTGGGTGACTGCGCCCTACTAGATGGGGATTTGTGTGCTAAATGTCACTAAAAGCGCCATATTGGCCCATATCTTGTAGTCTTTCGGACGCTGAGTCGACTGGTTTTGGTCCGAGAAAGCTGCGATGCAGCGTTTGGCCTGTATGCCCAATCGAACATAGTTGAATAAGTGGTCACGTGCTCATGCGTGCACAAGTCACCTGGTCACCGTGCCTGCAGAGTACAACTTACAGCCTGTTTGGGTGCTTTCCTGTCACTCGAGTAACTCGAGTTAAACCTTGGTGTGAAAGTTGTAGCCTGCAGGCACGGTGACCAAGTGACTTGTGCACGCATGAGCACGTGACCGCTTATTCAACTATGTTGGATTGGGAATACGGGCCGAACGCTCCATCACAGCTTTCTCGGACCAAAACCAGGAGACTCAGCGTTAAAAAAAAAAGACTAACATATGGGCCAATCGCGGTCATCCGTGCTTTTATAAAAACGAAATGGCGCTTTTAGTGACATTTTGCATACAAATCCCCATCCAGTAGGGCGCAGTCACCCAGTTTCGGTGGAATTGCACGAGTTCGATTAGGAATAAGAGTAATGGAGTGTCTCAGCTTCCTCGGTCCAAGACCATTCAACTCAGCACCCCGAAGACTACAACTGGTGAAAATTTGATTTTAGGCTTCCCCTTTAAGTTCATTAAAGCCCTACTGGAAAACATGTGGAGAACAAAAAGAAACGAGGAAAAGGACAAAACATAGGGGATGTAGGGACGACGTGCTGATGTGCTGGGAGCAACTCAACCGGCCAGAGGTCTCGGCGTCAACGTTGCAACTAGGCATCGAAAGGGGGGGGGGGGGGGGGGTTGCCCAAGAACGACTACAAAACAAACAGAAGCTAGAAAATACCACAAAATAATGAATTCAAATAACCTACGTGGAGATAATAATTTTAATATAGCTATGAATAGGATGAAGGCCGCAGACATCACGCAACTACCTGTCCCCGGGGAAAATTGCGGAAAAAAATCGCAAAAAACGCGGCATAATATGGCATAATTTGCGGTGAATTTGCGGTAAATATGCGGTAAATATGCGGTGAATAATATTGATGTGCGGCAATTTTCAGTGAGTATGCAGTGAAATCAATCAGTTACAAGTCTCTGGTGTAAGCACTCGTCATATTTTGAGTAAAAAGCCGCTGACCGAACAGTGCACTGTGTGTACGTGTAGTGCAACAAAAAAGTTCAAAAAACGCGGGAAAATCGCGGAAAACGCGGTCTTTTAAAAAACCGCAAAAAATGCGGAAAAAAACGCGGCCGCGGAATTGCAATTTTCCCCGGGGACAGAACTACGTTACTTGTTTGACATGTATTACTGTGTATTTTATAACAAAAATATTATTGAAAACCCAGAATCGATTTTCTCGTTCCTATCATCAGTGGGAAAAAACGGAACTAAGGATACAACCAAAGAAACTGAAGTTAAGTACTGTAAATAGAAAGGTGTTAGAAATAACATCAAGATACAAGTGCAATAGGGCTTGAAAGTGCTACGTCACAGCATAGCAACAATTTCAAAAATTCAAAAACTGGATCCACTTGGATCCAGTTTTTGTATGGATCCAAGCATATTTCAAGCGGTCTTACCCACAGCATGGTGATGTAGCCAGTGAAACTGACTGATTTGGCTAGTGGGGGCGGGGTTACAACTGGTGGCGAAATAAAAGTCACACCTGCATGCGACATGAGTGGGTTGCTATGCACCCACATACTTAGGCAATAGCAAAGTCACACCTTAGTGGATCCAAAAATAGAAATCTGCTGTCAACTTACTACTCCCTGGCCATTTTGACGTCATCACTTTCAAGCCCTATAAAACCACTAGAGGAAACGCAAAAAAGGGTAACAAGATTACATAACCAAAGGCGAGAAGGCACTGAACGAAGTGTCAACCTACGAATACAACTTCAGTGCAACAATGTGCTCTTTTTGCTTACACAAAACAGGCTTATGAATACGTATACAAACTGCCTCTAGGACTTTCAACTGTTGGACATAACGCGCACGACACAGTACAGAAAAATGAGAGTCATCATACACACCAAGACAGTCAGGACGAGATAACAAGTGTAGATACACAGCTGACTTCTTACGATCAACACATTCATCCGCCTCATCTCGCTCCTTCCCACCCGACTCCTCCTCGTCCATCTCATCGTCCTCTTCCTCTTTCCGCTCGTCATCCTCACGATCATCATCACCACCATCATCTGCCTCGTCCTCTGTGTCCTCACCAACCGTTTCGTCATCCAATTCCTCTTCCATCCTCTGATCATCCGTCTCATCCTCCGTTTCATTCCAGACCACTTGTCTCCCATTTGCTAGCTGCTCGTCCCGTGAGCGGAGTTGTTCCTCCAGATCCGCTTCACTCACTGACTCATGATACTGCTCGACCCTCCTCCTGTTGGTACTGTCCACAACGCGCGGTCCTTGGCCGTTTCTGGCATAGATCTCTGTGGAGTAGTTTGCTGTTGCCCTCCGAGGTCTCTGGATTAATGTGGGCGGCGTGGCAATTCGTGTGAGAGTTGGTGATGCCAGCGCAATTGTAGGTGGGTCCACCCCAGCCCCCGCCACAAGAAGAGCCGATGGCGGTTCTGGTGGTGGCAAGGGCGACGGTGGTGCTGCTGGAGTTGGCAACTTGGGCAGCCTAGCTCTCCCACACGGCACCGCATTCTGTGTTGGCTCAGTCTGTACCACTGGCACAGGGGGTGGGTTCTTGCGCGGTCGGCCACGCTTCGGCCGCTTGGATTTAGCTGCATCCGGTAGAATATGCAGCGGTACATGCTGTTTGATACGTGCGGTCAGGTGTTGAAGGGTCCTACCAATTTTTCTGTACTGTGTCGTGCGCGTTATGTCCAACAGTTGAAAGTCCTAGAGGCAGTTTGTATACGTATTCATAAGCCTGTTTTGTGTAAGCAAAAAGAGCACATTGTTGCACTGAAGTTGTATTCGTAGGTTGACACTTCGTTCAGTGCCTTCTCACCTTTGGTTATGTAATCTTGTTACCCTTTTTCGCGTTTCCTCTAGTGGTTTTATTGCACTTGTATCTTGATGTTATTTCTAACACCTTTCTATTTACAGTACTTAACTTCAGTTTCTTTGGTTGTATCCTTAGTTCCGTTTTTTCCCACTGATGATAGGAACGAGAAAATCGATTCTGGGTTTTCAATAATATTTTTGTTATAAAATACACAGTAATACATGTCAAACAAGTAACGTAGTTGCGTGATGTCTGCGGCCTTCATCCTATTCATAGCTATATTAAAATAATGAATTGGTACAAAATAATGACACCCAAAGGTGCTAAATATGAAATTAAGAAAAAAGGGAAATCATAAACCACATACTGGTAGCGCTAAAACTGCACCAAATAATAATTTAAATAATAACTAAACCGGGTGAAAAACCAAGAAATCATAACAAAATGAAAGGTAAATGAAACTCATAATCATTGAACGTGTTAACCACAAACAATGTACATTTGAACGTCCTCAGTGTACGATACCGAAGCACAATTGCAGAGAGCCGCCAGCACAGGCGAACCAAAGAACATGACCGGTGCCACAATCTATGGAACAGCCTACCAGCAGGGCTGCAACCCAGACAGCTCCAGTCCTTCAAGGAAAAGTGCAACAAGTGTCTGCTGCACCTGAACTGGCAAACTGCCACCGACGCCCTATGAAATGGTAAGACCAGCGCCTCACTAGTGTCTTCCCTCCCTCCTCACCACATGTTATCGCTCATTCTGCTTCTCTCCTCGCTACATGCTATCGCTCATTCTGCTTCTCTCCTCGCTACATGTTCATCTCTCATTCTGCTTCTCTCACGACCATCTACCCATTGTCCTCATTCCTCACTGTTATTCGTTCCTCCTCCCCTCCACATGGTTTTACTGCATTATGGCGCGCTTTGTCTGCGTGGACTCCGGGACCTTTATTAAGGTGGGCAGAGCAGCCTGGCCCCGCCACCACTTCTCGCGCATATTCGGGAATATAGTGGACTTTCGTATAAAAAATTAATTAATTAAAAACGCACCAGCACCGCCGGAAGCAGTTTTTGATTGGTCCGGCCATTCCATATGCCTTTCACACTTTTTGTATGATATGGAGGGTATACATGGGTATACATGATATGGTGGGTGATGGGTATACATGATATGGAGGGTAATGGGTATACATGATAATTATGGTGGGTAATGGGTATACATGATATGGAGGGTAATGGGTATACATGATATGGAGGGTAATGGGTATACATGATATGGTGGGTAATGGGTATACATGATATGGTGGGTAATGGGTATACATGATGTGGTGGGTAATGGGTATACATGATATGGAGGGTAATGGGTATACATGACCTCCTCAGCAGTAAACATGCCTTGGTAGCCAACAAGTTGGTCCGGCGATGACCTGACCAACCGGAGCGGTTCTGGCCGGTCTGCACACCCTAGTAAAACACTCAAGATTCGAGTTGCCAAGTTCCCGTCATGGCACGAACTGGTCGCCATACTCCCTCACAAGATCAGCAATGCGCAATGAGTTGGGAGTTGAAACAGCCTTCGTGTGCCAGCATGCACGTACATGCATGCCTGCGTGAGCATACTGGAATGCATCAATGCAGCAACAGTAAAACCTGTCCTAACCAGATGCCCTTGCCGCCTTGGTGCAGGGGAAACTGTCCTGATATGACAGGATTCCGCTTGATCCATGGATGCACGCTACAGCACCTTGGTGCATGGGTTTTTGGTCCGGTCAATGCAGGAGTCCGCTTGGTACAGGGTCCGGCAAGCAGAGGGGTTACTGTATCTGAATGCAAGAGTCCATAAGCAAGAGTATGCAGCTGTGCTCATATGGGCCAGCCGTAGGGAAAATGTAGTTCTTGATTTTCCACAGTGCGCGCGGATGAAGCTGCGCGACGTCATGAAGGCAGCGCAGCGCACAGCTGGCCCATGGGAAAGAGAACACAGTTGCGTACTCTTGGTTATAGACACTTGATATTAGAATGCTCCATGATGGTATATTGTTGCCTGATGTGCCTTGCCTTGAACAGATCCGGCAGAGCTTGCTGCCAGTAGCAGGGAGCAGCCGATGTGCATTCAGTTTGCACGGAACGGTATGTGCAGTAAGAGTTGTCTTGTACTGCTCCTTATGCTGCTGCTGCATTGTGTTTGTGCTCTATTTGACACTAAGGGGAAGGTAGCGTGCATGCCTTTTCTACATTGTTGTAGTCATCACAGTCATCACAGTCATCACACCATTGTACACATACGCACGCGCACACGCACAGAGATACGTAATAAAGCGCGGTGGACCCTGGCTAGCGCCAGACGCTACTAAAGTAGCGTATTTTGCATAGCTTCGGGAATAAAGCGCTGTGAACCCTGGCTAGTGCCAGGCGCTACTAATCGTGACATGACACTGGAAAACAACGAAGCTTTCGAAAAGTTTACTAGAAAATACCGTTTTAACTTGTGAAGTTGTAACCCTTCTTTCGTGATCGAATATGCTAGGTTCAGTCAGTAATCTGAAACATACCGTAGTGTCTTGTATTTAAGCCTATCTCATATAGAAGCCTGGTTTGACTAGAAGCCAGATGTGAATAGAAGCCTATCCCTTACATCGGCTTCCACAAGAATAAGCGCGGCTTTAATACGCGACATTACCGGTATTCGGGCTACGAGAAAGAAAAGACGTTTTTGATTGAACCTGATCAGAAGTTTCCCCAGCGGCAAGATCAAGGTTGCTGGTATCAGGATTCCACCTGCGTGTCTATTGTGTGCTTTCTGACATTTTATCACTAGCTGCGTTGTTGACAATGGGGATGCAATACTCAGAAACTTTGTACAGATTTGAGTATTTTTGTATCTATGTAGTATGCTTCATTGAAACAAACCAATGTTTTTAGCTTTTGATTATCTCTTTCGTTATGGTTGTGCCTGGCTGGCTAATGCCTCCTTCACATTACATGTATTTGGCTTCTTTTCAACTTTAGGTGATATCAATTTATACAATCATGTACAATTGCTGTGTCTGTCTTTGCAGGCCATTGTCCGTACGGCACTGCATGCAAATACTCGCACCGGAGTGCAGAGTCTGTAACATTGGGTAGGTACTTGTTGCTGGGTGCTTGGGGATAAGCGTGCTGAGTTACCGGCGCAGTCCAATCAGAGATTACTAATGTGATGGCTGGGTGCTCTGGACCAGGAAGCTGTCAGAACCCCCCTAGGCTGTGGGAGATTTTTCTTCATGCAACCCACCGTACAGCTGTGGTCATCGGAATCTGACTGAGTGACCGGAGCCAGCGCTCCTAAGTCCAAGCGTGCACAGGTACCATATTTTCCGGAGTGTGAGCTGGACTTAGAAACTCTCTAAAATTGAAAATACGTAATTTGGGCCCAGGGGTGGGGAGGGTGGGGGGGGGGGGGGGGGGTTAGACCCCGGTACGACTAACACCCTGGAAAATACGTTAACCCATGCGTGAGGGGGTCATCACAAAAAGGTTTTGTTGTTCCTGAAGCAGCACTGTTCGTGTGGGAGATAGGGGAGGATCAGAGTGCGAAGTGAATGTTGTTAGTTCCGGGGACAGCGTAGCACTCTTGCGACGGCCCCTGAGCCGATCTCCCAAGGGTCCAAGCAAAATCTGTCTTCTTGATGAGTTGGTGTCCGTGTCCAGCGCCTTGCCTGCACACCGCCTTTTTTGAATGCCGTAAGTCACTTCAGGGTGGTGTGTTTCGAATGCCGTGAGTCGCTTCAAGGTGGTGTGTTTCGAATGCCGTGAGTCGCTTCAGGGTGGTGTGTTTGGAATGCCGTGAGTCACTTCAGGGTGGTTTGTTTTGAATGCCGTGAGTCACTTCAGGGTGGTGTGTTTGGAATGCCGTGGGTCACTTCAGGGTGGTGTGTTTCGAATGTCGTGGGTCACTTCAGGGTGGTGTGTTGGGAATGCCGTGAGTCACTTCAGGGTGGGGTGTTTGGAGAGCCGTGAGTCATTTCAGGGTGGGGTGCTTTGAATGCCGTGGGTCACTTTCAGGGTGGTGTGCTTGTCACTTCAGGATGGTGTGCTTCGGAGACACGTCACCCCGGTCCATGACAAAGGTCAAGCGGAACGACCATTGTGCTTGGCGGGGGCAGCACAGGGGAGTCGGGAGATGGGCTTACATTGGTGTTGATGGGTGTATGTACTATCATAAAGTACCGTTGATCCGCCCCCCTCTCTAATTGCCGCCCCCTGTTGATTTTCTGCCGGTGAAGCGACTTTGGCGTATGCAACGCAATACAATGTTGAACCGACGCATGCACTACTGTACACAATACGTGCCAGTGCAGGATGAAGATGTGCACAATCCAGCTCATCGAGTCTGAACTTCCACGTTGTTGTACATCGTACTGCAGTAACTGCACTTGACAGCCTTGATGTAATTCCCGCCCCTGTCGCAAACCCAGCTGGGAAGCGACTTGGCGTGGGGGGGGGGGGGGGGGGATCAACGGTACTTTACGGTACATGTGGGTATGTTACCAACCAAGCCCAGCAGTTTGTTCCTGCCGGTCACTATGACTTCAGGGACCATGAGCGTGAGCTGGTGTGTTTGTCACAAGAGCTTGTACAGGTAGCAGCGGGAATGTTTCTGCCGCAAGTCATATTTTCTATTTGGGTTTTCCTTGTGCCAACAGCACTGCCTTCTTACTGTTGCCAGTCATCAGTTGAAGCCGTTAATCTGGCTAAGGATGCACAAGCGGATTGCGATCGGTGGCTTGAAAGCTGGAAGCAGCGGCAGCGAGATCGACGCTCTGAAAGGAAATCCAGAGTTGCTAAGTCGTCCCCATCGCAACAGCCACCCTTGTCAGCACCGTCACCACCACCACCAACAGCTCCACCGGCTCAGCAACACCTATCCATTCTTCACTCTTTCTGTCAATCAGCCAATCAAGCGCTGCCAATTTCGTTACTCCCAGGCGTGTCACAGCAGCAGCTTGCTCAGCACTTATCACCCACTCATGGCTGGGGATAAACTTGTGGTGACTTGCGTACGTACGTGCCTTTTTATATTATCTTGTTGTACATAAATCATTTTTATATTATCTTGTTGTACATAAATCATTTTATATTATCTTGTTGTACATAAATCATTTTCGATAAATATGGCCACTACAGTAGTTAAATATCAATCTACTTTGACCTCCGGTTGTTCTCAGCTTTCTCTCTTCTCTGTAGATACGAGCAGGCTGTTCACGTGCACGCTGCTTGCTGTAAATAGTGATACACTGTACATATATCTCTATGCTGTACGTAACAGTGATTATGACGCAGTGCTGCGCAACCCAGTGCTTACCGGTTATTTTACCACTATGCCTACCTGTGCACAGCTCTTGTTAGGTGAGTTTCTCTGCCCAGGACTGTACTCCTGCTTTGCTCAATAAATTATTGTTTCCACTGTACATGTGCTAAATATGTTGTAGTGCTTCGCTCTCCGGTACGCCCACACCATGTACATAACCCTCCTGCGTGCTCCCCAACGCATTCACGCTGCACAACTTGTCACTACTTTCACTTTAGCTCATACATGTACATGTACAGTCAACTTTGCGTATAACCACACTCGGCGGCCGGGCATCAGAAAAGTGTCCTTATTCGCGATGTGTCGTTATACCCGAAGTCTCATTATAATTATATTATGCATACAGGTAGCATGGACTTGCTCTGGGCATGGAAATTCTGTCGTTATTCGCGAATTGTCGTTATATCCGCAGTCGTTATTAGCAAAGTTGACTGTACACCCTTCAAAGCGGTGAACCCCTTGATAGGCGACACGCCTCTGGGTCATCCTAATACAGATATTTATTATCCATGGAGCAGGGCCAATTCCTGCCAAATCCGGATCGAAACGCACACGCGCCACATTGTTTCTTGATCTCGTATACTGGTACGTGTACTTCGAAGTAACTTACTAACTTATACCATTTTCCTGTCCGCTGCGACTCCCTGGTCTGCGAGAGGTGAGAGTTCAGTGTGTGCGCACCATGTTCCCTCTTGGTACTAGTAGAACCAAATATTACATGTACTGCACCCCCCCCCCCCCCCTCCTCTCAGCCCGAGAGCCTTCAACTTTTCAAGGGACAAACAAAACAAGGACTGAAGGTGAAGGAGGTCGAGTCGGAGAGGTGCGTCGAGCTGATCATGGTGATCTGATGTCGCCATGAGGCATGATACAACCGTTCGTTATCCGGTTATTGTTGGCACCAGGGAGTTGTCAAATCCCTGTAGTTTACGACCGCTCGAGCTGCGCAACCGCCAAGCGCGCATGCACGAACGATACAACGACTATCCAGGTTACCACGAGTGCTCATACATAGACAGACTCTGGTCTACCGGTGTGCGGTGTTTTGCCCTTTCTTCGCCAGTGCAGTGCTAGTGGACTGCAAGCGGATATTATGCATCGGACAAGTCAAAAGATGCCATGCTTGACACACCGAGTGGGCGGCGATATTTTTCATGCTACCGAAACTGTTTCACGTAACGGTCGTTGCTGCGTTTATCCTCGAAAATCAGATTGCGGTATTTTTGGAAACTAATTATCCGCGTCCGCTGAATGAGAGCAGGAACAGACGGTGTTCACTACCAAGGGGGTGGCCTACCGGTATTTGCTTGCTGCGTCTCTAGTGTTCCCGCACTGAGTGAACAACTGACGGATCGGGGATCGGTGACGGCGGCCTGGCCTGGGTCACACTGGGACTGTCACTGGGCTAGCTAGCCGAGCCTGTGGACTGCCGATAAATGGGAATAATCGTAAGTGCCGATCTATCGAGAACTAAAAATAGTTATGTTAGCTCAGTATTGGTACTGGCATAGTATAGTGGGAAATCCCTGTTACTCCCTCATAGATCTACGAATACACTGTTTTTCTGAGCCGTCTAGTGCCACCAATGAGACCGCTAAGCGGCTTTTAGCTAAAACGAAATCAATGGAGGGTGGTGGGGAGGGGTGCTGGTGCAGCTAGATCGACTGCAAGAAGAAAAAAAGACATCATGCTAACGATTCCAGATGTACATCACGGTAATCACGGGTAATAGAGAGGTTAAGATGCACGTTATTTCTGACTTGAAAGTTCAGCTCGAGTTATTTGGCTCGCGAGTGACCTGCAGCTCGAGTCGAAATGTGGAGTTTTACGCCAAATTTGATGTGAAATTACGCGTCACGTCGGAAATAACGTGCATCTTAAGTTCCTTTCTTAAAGGGGGAAGTTAAGGCAAAAACTAAAATTTCACCAGTTGTAGTCTTCGGGGTGCTGAGTCGAATGGTCTTGGTCCGAGAAAGCTGAGACGCTCCCTTCCTACTTGAATCCCAATCGAACTCGCGCACTTCCACCGAAACTGGGTGACTGCGCCCTACTAGATGGGGATTTGTATGCAAAATGTCACTAAAAGCGCCATTTCGTTCTTATAAAAGCACGGATGACCGCGATTGGCCCATATGTTGTAGTCTTTTGGACGCTGAGTCGACTGGTTTTGGTCCGAAAAGGCTGCGATGCAGCGTTCCTCCTTTATTCCCAATCGAACATGGTTGAACAAGCGGTCACGTGCTCCTGGGTGCCCAAATCACCTGGTCGCCACGCCAGCAGGCGACAACTTTCACACCAAGGTTCAACTCGAGTGACAGGACTGCACCCAAAAAAGGTCAAAGAGGCTAGTAAGTTGTACCCTGCAGGCACGGTGACCAGGTGACTGGTGTACGCAGGAGCACGTGGCCGCTTGTTCAACCATGTTCGATTGGGAATAAAGGAGGAACGCTGCATCGCAGCCTTTTCGGACCAAAACCAATCGACTCAGCGTCCAAAAGACTACAACATATGAGCCAATCGCGGTCATCCATGCTTTTATAAGAACGAAATGGCGCTTTTAGTGACATTTTGCATACAAATCCCCATCTAGTAGGGCGCAGTCACCCAGTTTCGGTGGAAGTGCGCGAGTTCGATTGGGATTCAAGTAGGAAGGGAGCGTCTCAGCTTCCTCGGACCACGACCATTCGACTCAGCACTCCGAAGACTACAACTGGTGAAATTTTAATTTTTGCCTTAACTCCCCCTTTAACCTCTCTAATGCCTTACCAACGGTGTGAATGACTTCATGAATACCCAATCAGTTTGAGGAAAAAACCATACTGTTTTGGCATAATTATTGCATGACATCACTCACATGCATGGCATCATTCACATGCATGACATCGTTTACATAACCTTTATCATAATAGGAGGATATTGTACTTTACCATGCAGTTGTGCAGTACAGCATCGCGGTATGGCGCATCGAGCAGCAGCAGCATCAGGAGCGCAGCCAGTGTTCAACAACTCAGGCATCCAGGCCAATGTCCTGGCACAGGGCGTGGGCATCTCGGTGAATGTGACTTCGCCGACGAGAGATGATGATGCTTTTTCAAGGCGTAAGCAAGTACTCAGAACCATTACTGTCACTTCTCTCAGTGCCATTCCCACTGCTGGCGTGCTCTTCAATAGGATACTACAGTAGCAGAGATTCCAGTGATAGTTATGGTCTAGACCAAGGCTTATGGTCAAACAGGCTAATTGCATGCATAATTGGTCAAGAGATAACGGTGTTGCTATTGAAAGCGTTGGTATGATTAAGTTCTGTGCCTGTCATGCATCAGGAGCGCAGCCAGTGTTCAACAACTCAGGCATCCAGGCCAATGTCCTGGCACAGGGCGTGGACATCTCGGTGAATGTGACTTCGCCGACGAGAGATAATGATGCTTTTTCAAGGCATAAGCAAAAGTACTCAGAACCATTACTGTCACTTCTCTCAGTGCCATTCCCACTGCTGGCGTGCTCTTCAATAGGATACTACAGTAGCAGAGATTCCAGTGATAGTTATGGTCTAGACCAAGGCTTATGGTCTAGACCAAGGCTTATGGTCGAACAGGCTAATTGCATGCATAATTGGTCAAGAGATAACGGTGTTGCTATTGAAAGCGTTGGTATGATTAAGTTCTGTGCCTGTCACTGTGCACACTTCTTCGGCTGTGGGAGAGCAGTTTGTCGTTTGTTACAAGGAGTTTCTTCTACATTCTCGGTCCCCATTGGCCCATCTTCCTTTACAACAGTACCCAGTGGCTGTGCCCGCTGTGTGAAGTACATATACTTTGAAGTACTATGTATTCCTAATGGTTCTTAGGGGGCGTCGGAAGGTAATTCAGGATGGTACGGTCAACCATCTGAGGCACACTTTGCTTTTTGGGAGGGGATCACTCCGATATATGTTTTTTTTTGAAATTTGGAGCTCAAATACGTGTATTTTGTTGATTTGTACTGGGGCAAATAGTGATACAGTCAATACCGTAGTGAACGTAGCGTGTCCGACGTCCCTGGAACCTCTTCAACCTGCTAGCCAGCTGAGAGAGAGAGAGAAAGAGAGAGAGAGAGACAGTGGGTGCGATTGATGGGTGCCATGCATGTATTTTGCCATGCAGGAGATTTGTCTCAGCCTGCTGCCACCGCACATTCTGCAAGACGTACCAGTACATCAACCGGTTTGGACTGTCCGACGTGTGAGCAGCCATCCTCACCAACACGACCATACCAAGAAGAAAGAAAAGCAACACAGGCTCAACAAACAGCAGACCCAGCTCCGACAAGCGAAGCATGGCAGTGCAGCCAGCAACAGTTACAGACGAGTGCAGCCCGACATAACCCGTACGGTGGGTACCTGAACCGTCAGGATGTGCCAATGCCGATGACTGTCGACGGCAGCAATGGCATGGACACGCACTACCCGGGTGCCAGTGTGCAGCGGATGTCTAGCAACAGCTCTCAACACAGCCACACTCCTTACCCTGTGCAAGTGGCAAGTAGTAGAGACAGCCTACAAGACCGTGTGCACATTCCGCCAGAAGGTACAAGTGTCGATCCTGAACCAGGTACAGTGTGAGCGTGTAGTCACAGAAACCCTAACAGATGGCACATCTGCCGACCGGTATCAGTGATAAACTTGTGTAAAGCCACAAAGCTTCCTGTAAGGTGGCTGTTGCAGACTTGTCCTTACCAGCTTTCATGATGAACCCATGCGTATCCTCATTCTCTTCATCCATACATGTACATGTCCATGGTATGTGTCATCAACATACACCCCAAGTTAGCATGACTACCCTGTCTTAACATGTTCACCGTGCACCGTGTCCTCTTCTCTGTGTTGGCATGTACATGCTTTGCACGCACTTGAAAGAAGGAATCAAAGCACTTCTGCTGTAACTCAGAGTTTCACAGGTTTTGCCGATCATCAGATAGTAAACGGTGCATGCTTTACAGAGCCGCCGGAAGCAGTTGTTGATTGGTCTGGCAGTGGTATACCGTATAGCCTTTCCTACATTGTGTGTGATATCATGGCGGGTAACACATGCCCTCCACAGCAGCTAATACATACTGGTGGCCAAAAAGTTGGTCCGGTGATAACCTAACCAACCGGACCGGTTCCGGCGGGCCTGCTTTATTATAATCATGTACATGTGCCGGTATACATGTACATTAGGGAGGTTTCGCTCTACGTAATTACGTATGAAAATCCGTATGTCGTACGCGCCGGGGAGCGAGGGCAACTTTCATACGTAAATCTCTCTACGGATTTCCGTAGGAAAGCTCTTTCCTACGTTGGGTCCTCCGTAGGACTTTTTGAAATTTTTTCGCATTTGTCCATGGCAACATTCAAGCCGCGCGAAACACAAGGTACACACACCGTACACCACGTGCATAATATCATGGAAAACGCGGTTTCGGTTCATGGTGCATACGGTGGGCGCATGCAGCCAACTCGTCTCCAAAGCAACAACGCATGTTTAGCAGTCGTGGAGAAATCATGTAGAGCGAAACCCAACAGCTCTGATTTTTACGCATGAAAATTCCGTGCAGTACATACGTTATTTTCATACGTAATTCCGTAGAGCGAAACCTCCCTAATCTCTGCATAATCATGTACGCTGTACTGGTCTACACTGCAGGACGACGGCGTGTTCTCATCTGCTACTGCCCGCCCGCTGTCCCCGAACTTGGCTGTGTGACGTGCGCCGAGCGGTGTCCGGATGATAACGATGGGTATGCGGCCACTGCTGATCAACAATGGGTGGAGTTATTGCACGAAAAGGTATTGGGACACGACACTACACCACACTGGTCCCAGTGTGATTTCTGCTGAGTTTGTCATTCGTGTGGCCGGTTGACCTGGCTACACCCTTGCTTCATGGCTGCAGAGAGGGAAGTGTGTTGCTTTCTTGCCCTACCGGTATGCCATCATCAGTGCTACACTGTGTTTTCAGGGCCTTCCCTGAGCAAAGACGTACTAAGAGTCATTCACACAAGTATACGGTTGTGTCTGATTGGTTGTCTGGCCTGTGTAGGTTCTGAACTTGGCTGATGCTCTGCGCGATGCAGGCGTAGACGTACGGCTGGACCAGTACGAGATGGATACGGACACAGTCGGTGACTGGGCTGATTGGCTGGAGCAAGAGTTTCGCCAATGCGACTATGTACTGGCTGTGTGCAACAAGCACCTCTTTCCAGCAACGGCATGCTCAAGCGCAGGATCAGCAGCTGGGCATCTGCCGGACCACAAATGCTCCAGCTTGCAGACGAAGTACCTAAGTTCAGCAGCTTCGAGGAGAATTTCCAGAACCGGACGCCGTAAGAATTTTTCACCTGTGCAGCCAGGCAAAATGTTCACTTTAAGCAAACAGTTTTAGCACTTCAAAGTTCATCCTCGTACTCACACCCAGTTGTACAGTACTAGTACATATGGTAACTGTGTGTGCCACAAAAAAACTAATGAACAATGTTTGATATTGAGCATTCAAAAAAGCCCAACAGAGTAAGAGTAGGCCTGTGCTTAGAATGCAGCACTGCAAGCTCTCCAAGTTCGTTGATTGGCTGTTTACCTGGTTACAGCCTTGTGATGTGCGATAATTCGAAGAATTTAGAGCCCGAGGGTTTGTGAATATTGAAATGAACATTTGCACTGACATCAGATGCAGGAGTTCTGAATATATCGTGTGATCATGTGTTAGTTCGTACCCTCCCCACCGATGAGGATTCCCCAGTGCATACCCTCCCTACCGATGGGGTTACCCTGTTCTGATCAAGGCACTTTGTTTGTTTGTTTGTTTCCTTGATTCATGCCTCTGACACAGCTACTGTGGTGCCGCTGCTGCTTGACAATGAGCCAGATACATCCATACCATTGATCTTGCATGGTGGCAGTCGTTATGTACTCCATTACCCGCTCGATACAAGTGAGACTGGAAGGGAATTCACCCGTCTGCTGGCAAGGCTGACCGGGCAGAATCGTCGCCCACCACCGCCAGTTGGACCAGCTCGTCAGCTTCCCAACCTACCTCTCGAAGACGACTAGACAGCCTGGCGGCCTGGGAGTTCTCAGACTGTCAGTCGGCGCTGCACTGTAGTGATTGCAGAACGGGCGGCCGTGCGGTGAGCAGTGTCACCAAGCCTTCTGTCATACTGAGGTTTGTTACTGGCCATGTCTGGTGCAGTCAGTCGAGATGCAGACCGAATGCAGAGTCTGCCATACCACCAGGCCAGGGGCATTGTACTGTTGGTGCCTACGAGCTGTTTTGTGCCATGAGATTTCTATCATCCGGTCACAGTACATGGGACACCACTGTACATGCTAAATTGAACTGTGTCCACATTGTCATGCCATTGCTGTCCTCGGCAATAAAAGCATATGCACAAGTGGGCAAAAAATCGTTTTTAGCAACAAAAAACTTGCAATCTCACATCTCAAGTTTTCTGATGCCCTACCGAGAGTTATGCTTGAATCGCTTCTGTATCATTTCTATCCTACAGAATTTTAACATTGAAATAATTATAATAATTATGCACTCAATCTTTGTAACACCTAACTAGTTAGCATCTTAAACTTTGAAATTGAAATATGAGTGTAGAATGTTGACTTGAAGCTAGTAGTAAAATATATTCAAGAATGTTCTGAATCTCATAATATTGTGCGTTTGACATAGTTCTTGTTTGAAGTTGTTTCACCTACTTGAACATGTATGCCTAAAGCAAGACGGGGATTGTAGCGACTGGTCATACTCCTGTGTACCTTTTGAGGATGTGCAAAGGGCACCGTACAGGAACATGCCGTCATTAAAATATAATTGTAAAGTCGGTGCTGTAGAATTGCAAAGTCAGCTCATCGTTGTTGACGGTAGGGTGACACCCAGCATGATTGCACTGAGCCGCGCCGAGCGTTGATTGAAGCTGGCCAATGCCTCGCAGTACATCTCACCAGTGGCGTGAGGCTGCTGCTTCTTGAGCCACAGCGACATCATTGCTTGGAACGGAGTGCAGTTCTGTTCACGAGCCACATTGCTGGCCGCTGTGGAACCTAGCAATGGAGGCACAGTAGTGGCAAGACAGCGGATACTCAACTACTGACAACTAGTCATCCAGAAAAGGCAGAAATGGGCTAACTGACAACAATTAGAACTGAGTGTCTGGTACACATCTCTGACAGATTGTAACTGTGCATGCCATTCACATGGGTCAAACCGGCGTGTGTTGGTGTGTGTATTCCCATGCATGGCCAGGGCAGATTGATGGGAGTGTATACTAAATATGGCTGTGGTACATGATAGCTCCCAAAGTAACCCTTGGTGGACAGTGCTCGAAAAGCAGTCAAATTGGCAGAACCATGCATTGAAACCTTATGGCAGGGACTTGCTTGAATTCTGCTCCATTTCTTTATCCACATAATGTGAAACATGAAACATACCAGAAAAATCCAACCAAAATCTTCCAATATATTTTTCAACAAACGGCGAGGAGACAATAACAATTTTGTTTCAGTGTCCTTTTGTACAACGACGATTCCTGATGAGTGCTGTACGAAAACTTGTTTGAATCCTAATTTTTCTCTACACTATTTCTTCCTATTTTCATCGTTTTATTGCACATTGTCTCCACCGTTTTACATTGGATGAATAAAGTATACACAAATGTCGATTCTGCTTGTCTTATTGATTGCGGTTGTCAATTTAGTTTTTTATCGACACTATCCACCAAGGGCTATTTCAAAGTCCGTCTTACCGATGGGGAAGTGCTGCTGCAAGAGAATATTAGCCAAGCGTCGTTGATCATCGCCATCCAGCACACCCGACAGCTTCACGTAGTACTCATCCAGCTGCGCTTGGTTCATGTCAGTCAACACAAGCGCCGCCGCCGTCTTTGTGGTGCAAGCGTGCTGGTCCAGCCACCGCTGGGACGGCGATGGGGATTGTGACAGGGTTGTGGCCATCGCCGTCGTACCTGTCACAACAACACCACAGGTCTGTCCCCTGCTTTTGCCGCCGCATCCAGTGTATACATGTACAAGGCATATTCGGCTACTGCCAGTACCGGGGCAAAATACTTAGCTGAAATTTACCTAGCGCTCTGACTCACTGCCTCAAAGACAGATGTGACCACTGGTGTATAATGAATAGGTTCGTACTATAGAAGTGCAATACTCTCCAACTAATCATTCTCACTGTTTAATTTCTATCATCATACTCCTGTCATTGGACACATTTGCCCATTTGAATCTCGAATGCAAATTAACAATAACAGCAGCAGCAACAGCAACGACAATGACGACGACAACAACAACAAAAACAACAACAACAACATATAAGCACTCTGCTGTTCAACCCCGGCTTGTATATCCCGTGTGTGCAAGTGCACACGACTTCTACACGCATACAGGTCAACATGGCTCAAGATTTCGTGGTGCAGCTCAAACCTGGAGAGTAGTAGGAGTGTGAGATAGAGTTCTGTCACCCTGCGCTCAATGCAGGCCATGTACGTGTCTGGTCGCCCCGTCTCCAATTTAAGAGCCGCTGAGGCAGATTCTAAAAATAACACTCCAGCATAGAGTTCTTTGCATTTACAAGCACCAGTTCAGCGGCGTGACCTACAACTCTAGTAGATAGTGGTGGTAGTGGTGGATATAGCAGCTCTCAAGCTGGTCTCAGACACTGATCTAACTCAAATCCAGAAAATGCACAGACGCACTCAACGCATCTCGTAAAAAGGTTGCTCCACTCGTTTCTGGTTCACGTCACACGGAACTAACCTTCTTGCTCCGTGTTGGCATCGGATGGCTGCTCAACTACAGTTGCTTTCCGTTTTCTCTCCAGCTGAATTTCAACAGTAGAACAACAGCAATTAAACATGTACCCATGGACATGCCGGTACATACACTGGAGAAGTCATACCTGGACGACAGGGATGCCTTTTAAAGTGGAAAGTACACTCATGTTTTGGAAATGCATGTAATGAATATTGATGTATGTTTGCAATGAAGAGTACAGTCGACGATACTACACACATCAATAAATTTGGCAAGAGGATACACACCTATAGCCTGGTTAAGAGGTACTGCCCACACTTGCACTTGAGTAATGTTACCTTCAAAAGGTGTTCGCATAGATGCGCCGAGCGATGGTCGACTGCACAGATGATGTTGTAGAGGTCAACACCATGGCAGTCACACTGTGCAGTGTGAGCAATCCAGTAAGATAGGGTGCCGTGCACCAGACTGCTTATGCATGTCTCCTCCATGTGATCAATAATGATCTGCAGCGCATTGTGCTCCCCCGCATTGTGCCGAACAAGACGAACCACTGCCCTAGCCAGTTCATCTGTAGGGGAGCGAGCAATGTGAGGCCAAGAAACAATACCCTCGTAATTCAAACAAGCATACATGTATGTCTGTGTTTCCATGACCTAAAGTGGGCCAATTATTTTTTTACTCCCCCCCCCCCCCCTCTCAGAAAATTAACATAGCCATTGGGCACGGCTAAGATGGCTATTCCACTAACAACGGCAAGATAATGAAGAAATCAGGGCCATGGTAGGTACACGTATGATACCCCATTGTCAAAGCATTACTTGAAGTCAACGCTCGCAGTATTGATGTACAGTTGCATGCACGCTATAACGTTAGTGGCACTGAAACATCGATTTTCGGCAAATTCAGTGCGAAATTTGTAAGTTCGGTGCAATTATCAGCGATTTCTTGGCAGCCATTGATCTCGGCGTCTTTTGCTGCTGACCGATTTCGGAAATACCTAAAGTCGCAGTCGCCTTTCGCTGTATAATGCTTACAGAAATTGTACTTGAAAGTACAAGTATTTGCATGCTGTAGAGGCACCAAAACATCAATTTTCGGCTAATTCAGTGCGAAAATTGCATATTCGGCAAAAAGATCGGTGATTTCTTCAAAATCATTGTTTTGGGCAAATTTTGCAGCCAGCCGATTTGGGAAATGCCTAACTACGACTGTATGTTTCGTCTTGAATAGGGGAGGGGGGGGGGGGGGTAATTAATTCATCTTAAAGACATCAACCAATATTGGTTTCAGACCAGGGCCATCCTCAGAATCCTGGGGATGACCCCAGGATGACTTAGCCAGTGATAGTGGTTGATTTTTTTGTTCAAAACATTGCAAGACAATGCAGTAAGGATACCATGGATGCATATTCTATGGTTTGTAGTGAATGTTGCGTTTGCCGGGCGATAGCGGTCGGGAGTTCCCTTCGGGGACGGGCACGATAATTTTTTTTGTAATGAATTAACCCTTTAGGGGTCATAGTACGGATTAATCCGTATGTCACACATGCAGTGCTTTGATCACCAATTTTCGCCAATTCTTTGGCTTTTTTTATTGGATTTTCAGCAATTCGATTCTCAAGACAATTTTCTACTCGAAACCTGTGTTTTCTAGGTAGGTTGCACCTAAAAGTTTTGAACTACAGCCAGTACAGGCACGAAGAAAAAGTTGACGTTCAACTGTCTCAGTATGCACCAGCTCATGAGTGCAGTAAAATTCTGTTTTAGATTTGGGTCATTCTGTCACTCTTTGTCGGAAACTATGATCAACTCTGTCACTACAGATCACATTACCAGAGACTATTGGCAATCTGTTTGGTCCGTTCTGACCTTGGTTTTGGGTTTCCGTCCATTTTGCAAGCATTTCCCACATTTAGAGCAAGGGCTGACAACCTCACATTGTCAGATTGAGCTCTGGTTTTCTCTATTGGATTCCTTTTTCTGCCCTTGTTTGGAAAATTATAGGTGTTATGTTAGTAATTGTGAACGGTTGTTCTTATTTGATACTTTTTAATACCGCCTCAAATTTGACGAACAATCCTCAAAACAATTCGACCCCTAAAGGGTTAAACAAAATAATGGAGTCGTGATCGTGGGTTGCAGTGGAATTAATTAATTTATTTATTTATTTCTGCACCTCGTGGCATGTCAAGACAGCCAATTGAATTGAGGAGAGGGTGAGACCAACCACGGAAGAAGAGAAAAAGAAAATGAAGAGCACGTACACAAAGTGGGAAGGGATTAGCAACTTACAAAGCAATGGGATGCTAATTTGCTCACCCTTAGAAAGGGCCCACGATAAAATGTTTTAGCCCAAAACGGTAAAATGATCCTGTGAACAGTTTACCTCTTTGGCCTTTGCTGAGGTGTACTTGTACTTCTTGCGCAAACTGTCCAAGATTCCCAATTTCCCGGGAAATGTTTAGGCCACTGCATTGAGAAACGTTTAAAAAATGACACATGAAAGAGGGTTGAACCGCTACAAATACATATGATTGTACTAGCTACAGCATTTGAGATGAGAATAAAATGCAATCTGTGGTTATTGAGCGTCCCGCAACGTGTATGTCATATTCTCATTTCTTGGCAAGCTGCTGTAGTACATGCGCAGTATAATTGCATCAGCAGTATGTCATATTGCTGAGTACACATGTAGATCTACTAGTATGCAGTTTAGGCTATGATTGAGGAACAATGCAAGAGAGTTGAACCACTACAAGTCCATATTGTATTAGCTACAACATTTGAGATGAGAAAAAATGCAATCTGCGGAGGCACTGTGCTTACTCACCCATTCTGGAATATGCTTTCATTGATGGACTGATCCATTGCCTTCTCAGTCTAGTCACTTGTACGTCATGTACTTCACTCAGCATGTGACACCGGGGACTTTGAATGACATCTCCAAACAATGCAGGAAGGAAAGTCCCACGAACCTGGATACTGGGTCAAAAAGCAGACATCCCGGTAGATGAGCATACACGTTACAACTAACTTGTAATGTTGCGTTTTTTGTACGGTAGGTGCGCGTGAACTGGATTTCATCAAACATGGCGGCGTCTAGCCACAAAGAAGCAAATATTGTTCATGCATCAACACACAACATTCTTCATCAATGGCAGACTTGCACGTCGATGCGTTGCGAACAATTACCTTGCCGAACGGTTCCTCTGCGTTATCAGTAGATCAGTGCATGCCTCGAAATCGGTCCGTCATCAGCAGAGGTTCCACGCGCACCGCAACACACACCTTCGTCAATGAGTGTCCTTTTCGCCTCTCCTCATTTTCTTATACACATTCAAATAAAACACCGCGCAGACTGCAGCTGCAGCTGCAGGCTAGTCCTAAAATAGGCTATAATTATTTAGACGTAGATTTACATCATTCTGTTCACAAGTTGGTGTCATCATCTCCAAAGCCCCTGTAGGCTATGTCCCGCGATGTTTTCTCCCAGTTTCTCTGGCATGCACATGGCGTCACATCACCAAGATCACATGCGGACCGACAAACCTGTACACTCTGCAAAGAGGCTTTGACGGCGAAGCTTGTCAGTTGTTGAAGAAAAGTTATCTGGTGATGTCCAGGTCACCTGCATTCATTCAATGATTCAGGTCCTGCGTATGATCGTTACTACCCTGTGTCAACTGTAAAACGAATACCTTCATGTAATAACGTACTAATTAGGCACCACTGCCCCCTGGCCCTATGTCGACGTACCTTCTAGCTTCTATTTCCCTTTAGCACCTACGTGGGAAAGATTCAAGGCGGAATTTCACAAGTAGACGCTAAGAAATCCAAAACGCCTAATCACGTTTTGGTGGTGTGTTTCCATAAATCCTCCTGGGGAAGCTGCAAACTCCCGGACCGGCGGTCCCCTGAATGGCCTGATCCACACCACCATGGTCCACACTACACTCATCCACACTACTACTACACACTGCCCTGCAGCCTGATCCACACTACCCCGATCCACACTACCCCGATCCACACCACCCTGATCCACACTACACTGATCCACACTGCACTGCTCCACATTAGTACCCCGATCCACACCACATTGATCTACGCCACCCTGACCCATACTATACTACCCTAATCCACACTACCGTGATCCACACCACTCCAACACCACACCACCCTGATCCACACCACACCACCCCGATCCACACTGCACTGCTCCACATTACCCCGATCCACACCACATAATCATTGATCTACGCCACCCTGACCCATACTATACTACCCTAATCCACACTCCCGTGATCCACACCACTCCAACACCACACCACCCTGATCCACACCACACCACCCCGATCCACACCACTCCAACACCACACCACCTTGATCCATACCACTCCAACACCACACCACCCTAATCCACACCACCTTGATCCACACCACTCCAACACCACACCACCCTAATCCACACCACCCTGATCCACACCACACCACCCGGATCCACACCACTCCAACACCACACCACCCTGATCCACACCACCCTGATCCACACCACTCCAACACCACACTAGTCACTACCCTGATCCACACTAGCTCTTTGAAGACATGGAGGTGGGTTGAAAGTTGAAACGTAACCCAACCCCAGGCCTGGGCACACGTCATGGCATGATGGGTTGTCTTGCATGGCGAGGTGTGTGGTCGTGTCTACACTTCGATACTGTTTTTCCAGACGCCCAGCTGCAGTATTCTATTGATGCTTCCCAGTGTTCGTGCCAACACGCACATACATGACGTCATTCTCACCACTACAATCATGTTTCCGTCTGATGTACCCATTTACACCCTTCTACTCGTTCTCTACTAAGGACATAGGTCTCAAATACAATAATACCGTGACTGGCGTGAGCGTATGCGCACCTATGGACAGTATGTATGGTCTCTCTGGGCAGTCTTGCTATTGCCACACCCTTGGGTCAACTGCAGAGCGAGCCATTCCTTGCGCTCTCTGCTATTCTGGCCTCGTCACCATGGTCACCGCTCTCAGTGATGCGCCCACACGATAGGATAGGAGCACACACTCAAGAAAAATACAAAAGAAGGAGAGTTGAAGGAATTGAAACAGGCCCAGAAAGAATGGCAGGAAAGAGGCCGAAGTGAAGGATAGTCACAGAACAGGGGTGGCAAAGACAGAAGTTCGGAAAGTGGAAACGCAGGGTTCAAGGAACGAGAGGCATAGTCACACACACAGTCCCGGAGAGAGAGAGAGAGAGAGAGAGAGATGAGGGAGGGGGGGGGGCAGATGGAGGGTTAAAGTAGGAGAGAGAGAGAGAGAGAGAGAGAGAGAGAGAGAGAGAGAGAGAGAGAGGGGGGGGGGGGGAGATGGAGGGTTTAAAGTAGGAGAGCGAGAGAGAGAGAGAGAGAGAGAGAGAGAGAGAGAGAGAGATGAGGGAGGGAGGGGGGGGGCATATGGAGGGTTAAAGTGGGAGAGAGAGAAAGAGAGATGAGGGAGGGGGGGGGCAGATGGAGGGTTATCAACTTAAATTAGGAGAGAGATAGATAGATAGATAGAGAGAGAGAGAGAGAGAGAGAGAGAGAGAGAGAGAGAGAGAGAGAGATTGAGAGAGAGAGAGAGAGAGGGGGGGGGCAGATGGAGGGTTTAAAGTAGGAGAGCGAGAGAGAGAGAGAGAGAGAGAGAGAGAGAGATGAGGGAGGGAGGGGGGGGGGGGCATATGGAGGGTTAAAGTGGGAGAGAGAGAAAGAGAGATGAGGGAGGGGGGGGCAGATGGAGGGTTATCAACTTAAAGTAGGAGAGATAGATATGATAGATAGATAGATAGATAGATAGAGAGAGAGAGAGAGAGAGAGAGAGAGAGAGAGAGAGAGAGAGAGAGAGAGAGAGAGAGAGAGAGAGAGATTGAGAGAGAGAGAGAGAGAGAGAGAGAGAGAGAGAGAGAGAGAGAGAGAGAGAGAGAGAGAGAGAGAGAGAGAGAGAGAGAGAGAGAGAGAGAGAGAGAGAGAGAGAGAGAGAGAGAGAGAGAGAGAGAGAGAGAGAGAGAGAGAGAGAGAGAGAGGGAGAGAGAGAGAGAGATAGAGAGAGAGAGAGAATGCGAGACACGGGGCGAGAGGCACAGACTGGAGAGACACAGAACGTACGGATAGCCGCACAAGAAAAAGGTTGTTGTTGTTGTGCTTATATTTATAGTCGTTCAACCAAACAAGCAAACAGGCAAACAGGCAAACAGGCAATGGTGCCTTCTCACAAGCAATGGTGCCTTCTCACAGGCAATGGTGCCTTCTCACAGGCAATGTTGCCTTCTCACAAGGAGACGACTTAGATGAGGAGAGGGCAGAAAGAGAAGGAGGAGGGGAGAAAAAAGTGCAGAAAGATGGACGCAAAAGGAGAAGAGAAACGGCGCTGAAGCACATCTGAATCACCTTTGCAATTATGCCATCGCCTAGTAAGGTTTTTAGAACACGAGTAAGGTCCAGTACCTATAATTTCATGGTTGATTGTACTCAAGTGTACTCTTGCCTTGGTCTGGACGTCTGAATCAGGGAGTCGCCAAATACTGGCACATACATATGTATGTCATTAGTTTCCGACTTCCTGGTTTGATGTAATGGCGCCATGCCAGTGATGGACTTGGTCTTGGGAAGTAACACGTCGATGTTAGTTTGTACTAGTACTAGTACTAGTACTACAGTCTACAGTGCTGGCAACTGAAATCCGACCCCCTGAGCGGTGGGTTCACATTCTTTGCGATGTGAGCGCACCGCTCAGGGGGTTGGATTTCAGTTGCCAGCACTGGACTAACTAAGCAGTAACTAACGAGTTACAGTACGTTACCATGGTTACTTCTCCCAGTCCCGGCCTGTTGTTATGTTGTTGTTTCCCTGTTGACAGTGTTGTTCTGTAAACAGGTAAAGCCAGTACCCATGACAACTTGTTTTTGACTATGCGGCGCCCAGCAGCCAAACCTTCATACACACATGCACAGCCGGCCTGCGCGCTGTAGCTGTCAACATGGTCAACCTGGTCAATAAGCCACCGGTGCACCGCGGAACTTTTCAAGTCAGTGGATCGCAGAGTGACAATTTTAGATTGATAAAATCATCATCAAGTGTAACTGGAAATAGTGTCGCGGCTGTGGATCAATCGTATTTTGTTAATAACGGTTAGGTGAGGTCATCAGGCCCAGATTCTGAGCCGACTGCAGTTGAGAATACCAGTCGTGGAATATTAGTACTCGTATCGCCGGTTGGGTGCCCCAGTTACGAAGACAATTTCTTCGGACTCTCCAAACGTGTGCATGTCAGGAATTACTGCTGGCGAAGAGCCCATGAGTGCCAGGAGCCGCTAGTTGCACTCTATTCAATGGCCGCTAAAGCAGTGAAAGCTGTGAAAAAGGAGAAAGCAGCTGCAGCGGCTTTGTCCAAGACTCCATCCCATAGCGAGTAAGGGCTACGAATGTTTACTGTCCTGTCTCTAATAAATGAGTTGACCCTGATAATGCTATCGAGTTGCACCCTCAGATCTTCAGAACTATTAATTTTCTGGCTGGGTATATATTGGTTTGATAGGGATAACCTATTGTCAATCAATAATAATAATAGAGGAGCTTCGTTTCCCTGTTTGTCGCTGACGAGCTCTTCTGGTATGGGTAACTGGGGGTGGGGGTATCGGTAAGTATGTAGGGGTTTCTGGAATGATGTCCCAATGAACTGGCCATAAAAGCAGATTCCAAAAGACCAAAACCAATCACCAGTTTTCAAATCTTATGCTGCCATTGAGGTGGTCAACCAGGCCAACCGAACACCCAGCAAGTCCCTTCCGGGTAATCTGTACACCACATGAAATTCGCGCCTGGCGCGAATACTTTGATTACGGTGTGAGTAGGTGCTGTCCGCATATGCGACACTTATCACTGTTGTGGAGCGGTGGAAGCAGTTTGGCCTGGCCACACAACCTAGCCTTTCATCGTGACTGAGTATGATATGGAGGGTAGTCACATGATATGGAGGGTAGTCACATGATATGGAGGGTATACACATGATATGGAGGGTAGTCACATGACCTCCGCAGCAGTAAACACACGTTGGCGGCCAACATGTTGGTTCTACCACGGCCTGGCCATCCGCACCGGTTCTGCTGGGGCTGTGTACATTGTATATGGTAGAAACTTACTAGAAAGAAGGAAAATATGGTAGCCTGCTTGTCTTGTTCATCTTTCATTCACGTACTATTCATAAATTTGAGGGAGTTGAAACGGCAAAATGTAATAATGTAATGCAGGGGCGTTGGACACGGTACGGTGACTATGGTATTGACCGCACCACTTTTTGCCCCAGGTACCCCCCCCCCCCGTGAATCAATAAAATACACTGATCTGGGCTCTAAATTTCCAAAATTTCCGGCTTAGCCACCCCTCCTCCACAAGCAAATTATACTTCAGATGGCTGACCATACCACACTAAAATACCTTCCGATGCCCCTGTTTAAATGTGTGTGTCTAAGTTGCTGATGCCGGTGTTGATGTTGATGATGTTGATTAGGCTGAGCATCGGCAAGCCGGATGCTGTCACCAAGTATGACGTGTGGCCATACTGGAGTGATGCAGATATTGCAGCAGAGAAATGGGTGAGTGGATTTAACTCGGATGGAGCGCCACGGATTTTTTAAACGAAAGGACCTCGAAGGGTTACATATACGATTTGTGCTAACTGTTGCATGTTGTAACTCACCAATATATTATTGTAATCGAGTTGTCAGTGTTGGACAACTGCGGATAACATCGTCATGTGAACCTTAGGTCATTTCTTTTCAAATGGGTGAGTGTGAGCAAGGTCGGCGACGAGTGTTTGTTGGAAATTGTGAGACAGCAATGCAATGATGTCTACCGGACTGTACGCACCCTGTCCCATTCTTACAGTAGAATACGATTGCCAGTCAGAAATCTTGCAGAAGATGTTAATGCTATGGAGGAGTTGCAACTGCAAGCTTTCATTGAGACAATGTCTCATGTATAAATGCCACATACTCGTATACAAACTCAGGCAAAACGGAGCCGCCAATAGCCGAGCAAGAACAGATGCCCAACTCCCCAAGCTGTGAAGATGTGCTTGTTTGATATTTGCTCACATGTGTAGGGCTATCAACTGCTAGCGATGTAGACAGCACACAGCACAGCATGTGCATCCAGTAGGCCGAGGATGCACTTGCCACACATGATGCTCTTCAACCTTGTTATGGGTAAATGTATGGATTTGATTGGCCAATAATAGATGGCTCTGTGATACTGTGCATTATAGGATTTCTCTCCTGGAAAGACTACCAAGGATAAGGCCAAGAGTCCAACGCCTTTCGCGGCTGTACCATCGGTGAGTCTTGACACTTGCCAACTTCATTTATGGAATCTTCTGAGTCTGAAAAGTACAGGCAACAGATGTCCTGCCTTGCATGTTGAACGGCATCTCACATCCCATCAGTATCACTGTCAGCATGCAAGTCATTCCTCGTAGCACGGGTGCATTCTATTTGCAAATCTGATACAAGAATGAAGAGACTGGTTGGACATTTTCTGGCTGATTGCTGAGCTGATGTTCACCACTTGATCAAGTCAATATCCTACACGTTTTGTATCTAGATCTATCCCAGCATTGAAAGTCATTTTTGTTTCATAGATTCTTGCCCTTGCACCGCCGATTTCATTCTGCTTTCAGGGTTTGTATGAAGATCCACCCAGCGACCGCTTTGTCTTGCCGCCCGGGCTTGAAAATGGGAATGTGACATGGAAACGACCGTCGGCGTATTTGGCTGATAAGGTACAAGTTTGAATGCGGGATTAAGTGATGTATGACCTGGTTCTATACTCGTACATGTAATTTTTGTCAGTCTCTGCTTGCTTGGGTGGCTTTGCAGTAGGCAATTAACACACAAGAAATGCAAGCTTTTAAAATGATTGGAAGTAGCCCTGTTGCTTTTAAATGTGCCCTTAGCATGGTGGTGTGACAGTTAACATTAACTCCGCTATGCTCTCTGGTGTTTGTACCTATAATAGGCTATATTGTTGTAGAAAAGGCGCAGTAACTCATGAATCATGATGCTGATACTGCTTGGTCATAGGCCTTTTGGTGCATCAATGTGTTAGTGTATCAATTTAGCATGCTACTATATTAGTTATATTAGTGTGGTCTTGAAGCATTGTATGCGCTCTCGGTGCGATGACTCGTGTCCGTTGCAGGGTCCGCCAGTTGTGATATCACCAGACAACATGGACACATGTGACCTGGTTATGCAGAACACGCACTTGCTACACGACCCGGTGAGTGGGCATAGCGAACAATCCAATCAGTCTGAGTGTGTGCATTAGAGCTTTGGTGCAGTGCAGCTAATGCGCTCTCTCTCTCTCTTTCATAGTGGGCTCCTTGTCTACATTTGTTCTTATCTACCCCCCCCCCCCTCCCTTCACCCAACACCTCTATTCTTTCTTACTTTCACGCTAGGCTTCTTCCAGGCTTGTTCTGCATCACACCTTCATCCCCTTCATTGAGTCACCATTGAGTCACCATTGTAGAATAATTGGCATGGACAATATCAAGGATAGCCATTGTTATGACCGCTATGAAAGACGGCCACGGGACCGGTTGAAGCAGTTTCTGATTGGTCCGGCCATACCATATTCCACATAGCCTTTCATAGCCATCGTTCATGCTTTGCATGTGATTAGGCAGGTACATGTGACCTCTTCAGCAGTCAATACCCTTTGGCGGCCAAAGCGTTGGTCCGGTCATGGCCTGATCAACCGGACTGATTGCGTCCGACCTGAGTCGCCACGATTATCATAATGTGCAAACATCATAAGGCCCTTTGCCATGACAATGCTTGTGTTTTGTATCAGAATGTTTTCAGATATTGCAATCAGCGGGCATCCCCTGCCACATGCATACACACACAAACGCTGGACAAAAATCAAGATGATGATTTCGCGTATCGAACTGCACGTTCCCTGTATGATCATGCCTGCTATACAGATCCTCAGCGCGGTGATCACTGAGCTGCAGCTGATGTTCAAGTTATCCCTGTGCTGCGGCAAACCCGCTGAGGCCGTGCCGTCCAAGGGCACAGGAACCCCGGCAGGACGGTCCACTGCCAAGCAGCCAGTGTCACTAGAGCCGCCGCGGTTCGGAGTGGACAACTGGCGGCCGTGGGATCATATCTACCCGCGGCCCAAGGGTAGCACCACCGCTCAGTACAACCCAAGTGGAAAGTACGCCGTCAGGCTGTTCTGGCTGGTAGGTAATTGGCATACGGTATTGTCATCTCAGTATTGTACAGCCGTGCTTTGCACTCATAATGGAGGCGTGTCAGGCTTAAAACAATGGTCATATTCAAGGTACATGTAACAACTTGCTGTGGGAGCAAATAGCCTCTCATGCTCAAAATAGATTGGTTCCATTGCAGGCAATCAGCGTGGCCAGGTAGTTTGTCGCTTTCCTTCTCACACTTCATTCGTCTCCGGCAAGGCTGACTGGATGTGTCTTGCAAGAATCGTAGCGAGCTTTGCTACTTCTGTGCACTTTATGTTTGGAAGTATATCGCGTAGTATAACTCTGTGTGTCTATAGTAGTACCTGTAGCAGTATCTATCTGAGTCCTGTCACACGAATTATGTATGTTGGGGAGTTGAGACTCACATAGTGTGTGCGTTGTAGGGGAGTTGAGACTGACATAGTGTGTGCGTTGTAGGGGCGTTGAGACTGACATAGTGTGTGCGTTGTAGGGGTGTTGAGACTCACATAGTGTGTGCGTTGTAGGGGTGTTGAGACTGACATAGTGTGTGTGTTGTAGGGGCGTTGAGACTGACATAGTGTGTGTGTGTGTTGTAGGGGTGTTGAATGTAGGGGTGTTGAGACTCACACAGTGTGTGCGTTGTAGGGGTGTTGGAACTGGTGCGGCAGGTGTGACCAAAGCCGTACCAATAATTTTGCCCTCAGATGGTGAGCCAAGGAAAAAATTGTAACATGGAAATTGTGGGCACAAGTTATGCGATCGAGTCCACCAACTAAACCAGATTTTGAACAGTCAGACGTGCACAGTCTAGCAAAAAACTGACAAGGAGTACTCGTACTGAGACATTCCAAAAGTCAGCTTCAGCACTGCTCGATAGCGCTAACCAACGGCCTTCCAACTTGGACGGTTCATGGATATTAGTGCTGATTCCAAAGAGGGGAAGGCGAGCGCCATCGAGCCGAGCACAAGCTACATCCCAAGGCTTCATGGAATGCTGGCCTGGTATGATGACGGGCCGGCAAGACCAGACAGAAGGGTCAAACCACATTTCGACAACGCAAAGCAACAACCACCCAACTTGGGAGGCTCAATATTATCAGAGATGAAAATGCTATCGAGCAGTGCTCAAGCTGACTTTCATGCCGTGGAATGTCTCAGTAGTGAGTACTCCTTGTCGGTTTGTGCTAGATTGTGCACGTCTAACTGTTCAAAATCTGGTTTAGTTGGTGGACTCGATCGCGTAACTTGTGCTCACAATTTCCATGTCACAAATAGATTTGTCTTGTGAGATTTTTGAAGCAATAAAATATAGGCTACTGGGCCCAATTTCCCCCCGGCCGTGTTCCTAGGGGAGTCTCCGCACCACGGTATTAGAGAGGTTGCGCACAACGAAAATTCGTAGCACCGTAACGAAATTTTTTAACGAAAAAAGCTAACGAATATTCGTAAAACATGAGGTTGCGCACGACGTGTGAACTTTTTCGTAGTGGGTTGACGCGACGGCCGCGCGGGTGCGAAGAGTCGAGACAATGAGTTGTAAAATATCAGTAGTTCAGTACTCCAGGTGACGAAAAATATTTTCGTAGATCTGCTCTGTTTCGGTCGCGTTTGGACGGATCTTCGTAGCAACTTTCGTTACTTGAACCCGGACGGTCGAAATCTTACGAAGTTTCGTTGTGCGCAACCTCGTGTAACATGTGACTGTTGTTGTGACCGTGGTAATGTGTATCATGTGCCTGTTGTTGGTGCGCCCCGTTTGCTAGGGACACTGGCGCAAGGTGATTGTGGATGACCTACTGCCTGTGAATGAGGACAACTTGCTACTGCTGCCCGTCACACCACTGCTGACCGAGCTGTGGCCTATTATACTCAGCAAGGCGCTGCTGAAGATTGCTAGCCTAGAGTAAGTCTGCGACAGCACGCGGTGAAATTCAACGCTCGTTTCCAAGCAGGTTTGCCCTGACACGCCCAATCTATGCTGGGTGTGTGTGTGGGGGGGGGGGGGGGGGCTGGACTCAGAGTAATGCTATCTGAAGGTGCTGTGTGCTTTATCTTCTGCACTTGGGCCCTGACTGCCTGTGGGTGTCATTGGTATCAGCTTGAGTTGTATTCGGTCATGGCTCCCCTTGAGTCGCACCACTGACTGCTTGTTCCATGTTTGGTCTTGCTTGACTGCGCCGTGCTACAGGTATGCACGCTTCAAGACGGAATTCCCGGATCCACACTATTTCTCCGCTATGCACATGCTGAGTGCTTGGTTGCCAGAGTACCCTCAAGCATAGTGAGTTGAAGACTGCATCATTGGCACTGGCATGCTTCTCATTCCTCAATCGCAATCTATGGAATCCGGTCTGTGCACACCGAGCAGCCAACAATTGATTTAAAGCTGACGGGGGAGATCTCAGTGTTTGCCACACGGCTCTGATTTCTATGCTGGTCTTGAAAGCTTGATCTACACAATGATTGCATGTATAATGAGGGGCTGTGCGCTGGTAGTCCAAATCGTTTAGTAAGTGATCCCGCGCAGTTTGACTACAGGAATAACTATGCAGACTGGTTTAATCGGCGGCGTATTTGTGTGCTGTGTGTCGTGTACGTGCGTACGCAATGATGCTACATGCGATCCTACCAACAGTGACAAGTGGTGCATCAAGCAAAACAAGGAGTGGATCTGGGAGTTTATCCAGCAACGGGTACCCTTCTCGGATGAAGGTCCATACCAGACCCCCAATTCCACGCCTAGTCTGCAATCTCCAGAATCGAGCCAGGATAGCCAGGGAGAACTTGCTGCTGATCCTGCAATGTCCACTGCAGCTGATGGTGCTCTGTCACCACCCGAGGTGAAACCAGCCAAGAATGGCAAGCCAACGACTGCACGGACTCCCAAGCCCACGGACGGCCTGGCAGCGCAGTCTTCTGTGAACACCGAGAAGGATCCGTTTATGAGCAGCCTCGGTCTCTTACTGAAGGATCCCAACAAACTGGTCGTGGCCGAAATGCCGTGGCCACCGAAGGAGAAGCGTGCCACATCCAAGGCAGGGCGCGAGAGATCAGTGGTGAGCAATTGCATGAACCTTTCAACATACAGTCGACTCCTGATATAAGGAGCACCATTGTGCAGGGGAATTACTCCAAAAACAAGGAGTTCTTTATAATTGATATACACTCACATCAGACAAGCAACACATCATGACTGGCATGTGGCCCATGACAGTATGATTGCACTTAGGTTACGTGAGGCCCTTCAAGATTTGGTTAGTTATAAATGAGAACTGTTCGCTATATAAAGGGTCAATTTTAAAACGGGTTCAAACAGGGACATGGACACTGGGTCGCTACATCACGAAATTCGCAGCGTTATTCGCTGCACGCGAGTTTGTTATAAGTGGAATCGACTGTAGTATATATACTCATCTGTCCGCTTATCCGGGTGGTCCAGGTCTGGGCATTTTCCATAACCGTTGAAATGTTTCTAACTCTGAGTCACATACGTTTCTATGGGGAAGGGCATTAAAGAGATCTGGCACAATATGTCACCATTTCCACAAAAAATGCAAAAGAGTAGTAATATTTCCACTGAAACTACCCGTAGGGTGCCCGGTGGACCAAAGTGCCCATAACTTCGAGGTCCGGTTGAGAGGGATATGAGTGTATATCGAAGTACCACAAGAGCGCACCACCGCCACCTCTCTTTCTGGTCGTGTTTTCGGAGGTGGTGTCCTGTTGTGAGTCATACAGCACGTACCTTGCACACGCATTGCACACTGTGCAGTCAATCTGTACACAGGTTATTTTTGAGCGAATGGGAGATCCACACAAGAACATGCTAACTAATAAGGGTCACCATAGCTATTTTCAATGGTTCTCAGGCCATGCAAACTTAGGCACACTCTGTCATACGATGTTCCTTTCCCTGACTGTTAAATCAAGGTGGGGCACTCTCGCTATACTTTATGGTACAGTGTAGTACGTGTTATTGTCATAGGCTACCAAGCAGGAAGCTAGGCATGCCGTTCAATATGCCACGTGATGTAATCATGTGTGTGTGTGTGTGTGTGTGTGTGTGTGTGTGTGTGTGTGTGTGTGTGTGTGTGCGTCCGTCTTTCTTTTCTTTCTCATTCTCCTAGCTTTTCTTTCATTCTCCTGGGTAGTTACCAACAGCCAGTGTATGCCGGATTATGTGGTGTGGTGTGTGTGTATGTCGAAAAAGAAAAAAGAAAAGAAAAAAAATGAAAAAAATGGAAAAATGAAAAATAGGGATTCGCTGGCCAGAAAAAGTCACTTCAATCAGCTGTGTGGTGGATACCAGGCTAAAAATAGTGGCGGTCAATTCTTCAGCCTTGCAAGCTGTTGAATGGTGCAATCCCAGCACGAGTTGCTATGTCTAACATAGCTGTTCGCTATCATCGCTTCCGCGATGGGCAGGTCTGAGGCTTGAGGTCTGAGGTCTGAGGTGTGTGTGTGTGTATGCGTATGCGTATGCACATATGGATGTCTGTGTGTGTGCGTGCGTGTTAGTTATGTATTACTTAGAGCAGCACTGAAGTGTACATTACAGGCCATTCAGAAAAAGATGAGCGCTGGCTCTGGAGAGCTCCCGTGTTTGGTGATTTTGCCAGTGCCGCGAGATTCGATATTGAAAAGGGTCCGAAAAAGGTACCTCAACTGGGATTTGAACCGCAAATGTACTGTTCTGCAAGTGGAGTGCGCGGGTTGGATTTTCTTGGCTTTTCCCCAGTTCAGTGCTTTGG